ATAGTTTTATTTCATTTCGTTCTCAACATTTTCATATATATTTTCTTAAAAATGTATAAGTTTATTGAGAATTTATTAATTAAAATAATACAATAGCCACTTACTTTATGGTGATAAAATGGGGTGTGGCAAACATTGCCCTGCTTAAAATCGAAACCTCTTCAAAATCTTCAATTCAATTAAAATTTAACATTATTGCATTTAATCTATTTTTTACTTTCTGTAATCTTTAATTGAAATTAAATAAATACAATTACAATATTAATTGCATGGGTGCAAATACAATTTTTATAATTTTTGAACTATATTCTTCATTTTTCTAAAATATATTATTTTGACCGCCGCTGTATGTGCTGCTTGGAGAGGCAATTTCGTGACGATTATTTAATATGCCAAATTCTTGGACTGTAATCCGTGGCAAAGTTTTGCAGCTTTTGCCAACTGCGTAATAAGACCGAATATTGTTTGGGGAGAGGAGGCCCAGGAGGCCCAGAGAGAGCGAGGGAGACTCAAGCTGTTCCTCTTCATGCTGTCCCAATGCGGGAAAAATTATGCCCAAAATTGGCTAAGTAACAAACTGAAGAAAGCACTTCCCTTTTGGCAAAGGGTTTCGGAGGGAGATTGGGAGAAGGGCGGTTGACAACCAAAAGATTCGATGCTACTGCGTCTCTGGCATATATCCAATTTAAATGCCGACTGTATAACTGTATATAACCTTCGCCTTGCCAAGCGGAAATCCGCAAAGCAAAATCGAAAGACAAAGCGAGACTGTCAGGGGAAGGAGGGGTCGGAGGGGGTTATAGGTCACTCAGGCGCCCACCTAACAATCTAATGTTGAATGTGACGGGTCAAAGGCAAAATTGAAAGACACCAAGTGAAAAAAAAGAAGGAAGCCGTCCAAAATGACAGTAAAAAAAAGGAGAAGTCAAAAAAATGCAGATAAAAGGAAGAATCAGCCACGCCCATAAAAAGGATGTATGTCTACTATTTGCCAGCGTTACCACCCATTTGCCCCTTTCAAAACGCAACTTTAAACGCACCAAGCTAAATTAACAAAAAAAGTCGCCTAACTTGAAAGCTTTTCTTGTTTTTCGAATTTCTAAATATAAGAGAAACATTTTCTACATTTTCCTTAAAAAGGCTGGGAGAAAAATGATATTGAGCAAAGAAAACCCCTGGTTTCTTTGTAAATAATATGGTAATTCATGGCGTTTTTCTCTCAGTGTTGGCCTACCTTTTTTATTGGACTTTGGGGCAAAAGGGAGCAAAACTGTGTAATATTCCTGATATGCTTTAAAGTCAAAGAGGGATAAGGGACAAGGACGGACAGGATAGGGACACGGCTACGGACACGGATAAGGAGAAGGACAGACTGACTGCCTCAATATTTGCACAACTGGGATTTCAGGTTTGCCGTGCGTTTCCGGGCACTTTTGGGTACTTTATTCAAATTTCGTGCATTTAACTTGATTTGGCGAGTAAATTAGTAAGGGTCAACTGAAGCCAGGCATCCAGCTTGGTATCCCAAGCATTGATAACTATTCCCCAGCTCCCCCTCTCTGTCTATCTCTTTCTGACTCCCTCTATTCATTTGCTTTCATCATTCAGCTGCAACATTGAGCACAATTGCAGGCCTGTCTACGTCTTTTTAATTGTTGTTGACACACACAAATCACATTGCATTTTACGCAGAACAAACTCAACCCCTCCTCAATCCATCCACAACTCCAACTCCTCCCCAAGTGCAACTCTAACACCAACCCTTACTTAACATAATTCAACCCTTCAACCAAGGGAACAACGTGTAAATTATTGCGACTCGAAATTGGGTCAACAACGGGTTGCTTTTCTATTTTATATTTTTCTACTTTTCCCCCCTTCTCTATTGTGTGTTATTGTTCTGGTTCTGGTTCTTCTTCTTGTGCGATTGCCAGCCTTGTATAAAGAAAAAACTGCGTCGTTTTATGCCTAGATGTTGTTTTGTACATATTTAAATATTTAAATCTACACTCAGAAAAAATATCTATATACATTTTAGTCAATCGCTACCATATTATTCCGAAAGCCAATTTCTAAAATTTAAAGTATGATTTGCATTTCTACTTTTTAGAAATGTTTTTCCTAATAGCAAATACTTCGAAAAAATATAAAAAATCACCATATTTTTAGAGTTGTTGACTTACCGCATACATTTTCAATTTTTAGAATAATGTATTCTTATATTTAAAAATTACTTCTAAAAAGTAGACAAATTTTATATTTTGTTTTTTTCTGTTTGAGTGTAGCGTGATCGAAAATGTCGCGTTCTGGCGCCGAGCTCCACTTCCCAGTTTTTTTCTATTTGCATATGGTGGCATTTTGGATAAAGGATTTCTCAGTCTGCTCCTGAGGCTGCTGCTGTTTGTTTTTGGTTGTGTTGTCGCCCCGCCACAAATCGGATTCTGAATTTGCTTTAACCCTTAAAAAATCGACGTCTATTTTTTTGTGTTGTTTGCTTGTTGAGGCGCAACGAATATTTTCGGGCAAGTCGCAGATTAAACCACCCCCCCCCTCCCTCTCCTGATTCCTACAGCTGTGCAAATTGATTGACGCTGATTTGTTTGCCTTTTTCAGTGTTCAAAAAGGATGACTTATTTTAAAGACACGCTGGAAGCAAGGCGTGTAAAACAGAAGTGGCTGGGTGAGTAGGGGGAGACAAACAACAAACTAACAATCATATGCAAGTGTGCACGCACACAGACACAAATACATACCTATTGGAGTGTTACGTGAGCTTCTCAAAATACATATATATTCTGGTAAGCGCTCGCCTGCATCCTGCATATATCCTCCCACTTCACTCAGACCACTTCACAGCTGGGCCTTCAATTCGCCACACTATGTTCTTTTCTCTTGTCATTTTCTCTCACCCACTATTCGTATTCTTATCCACCGCCCCCACACCGCACCCCTCTCACTAACTCTATCGTTGAGTGGTTTGCGCCAATTTTTTCATGTTTTCATGCGTGTTGTGTGAACAACAACAACAAGCACTAATTCAAAAGACAGAGACTAAGCACGACTCGCCGATACCCTGTACAAATATTTATTTTTGTTGATTTATGTTATATATTCGTATGAATAATTTAAATAAATTAAAATTGTGCAATAGATATATAAATATGTATATATAATTATTTATTATACCCTTTATCTATGTACATTTGGTTACAGCGAATGTAAGCTTAAGCCAGCAACAATAACAACAATGGCGACGCTGATTGTTAAAATGTATAGCAGAGAAACAACAAGAACAACAATGGTGGTAACAATGTGGAGCGAAGTCAAGTGCCTGACTAAGGCAATCATCATGTGTGTTAGTGTGTGTCTGTATCTGTGTGTGTATGTGTGCCATATTTCATTACATAACTGTAGCAGGCACTTGCTGCTTGTTGTTCTTCTTCTACTATTTCTACTTCTACTTGTGTTCCCACACTTCTTCTTCCACTCTTCAGCTTCCTCTTTGCTATTAAGTATTCACGCCTCAAAGTAGACTTTGTTTGCGTCGCTACCATAATAAAAAGCTCCTTGGCGAATTTCTACTCTCACCCTCTCCCTCTCCTCTCCTTCCATCCTTTGCCAAGAACTGCTTCGCTGCGTGATTTTACAGCACTCATTTTTTGCCTATTATCCACACTAATGGCAACATGTTTAAGCATGTGCATTTTGATTATTGCTGCTTTTGTTTTTGTAATTTTGCTAATTGATAACGCGTGAAGGGCAACAAAAAATAGAAACAAAGGAAAACCTTGATAATGATGATTATGATGACGACGTTGTGATTAATCAAGTAATCGAATTGCGTGCAGTTTAAAGTTCAACAAACTGGAAAGCGTGGATCATGTGGATCATATATGTCGCTATGTATGTATATGTCTGTGTATATTCCAATCTGGAACTGGAATGTCTCTGTTTGGCAAATAAATCCGATATTTATACAGAAGTAATAATTTAGAAGTAAACATAATTACTATTAACAAATTAAGTATTTTTTTCTCTTTAAGTAAACAGTAAAAACTTTATACAGAGCAAAAATTCGCTTTGCTTTTACAAATGACTCGACGCATTTTAATCGTAAGCAGAGAGAACTAGAGGGAGAGAGCTGTGTGTGTGAGTGTGTAAATTCCAGCATGAGATGCACAAATTCCTGCATTCTGGAATAAAGTAAATGTGTCAAAAGAGTGTTGGAAATTGCTTGGAAGCATGCGCCGTTAGCTTTAAGCACGTGACGCATGCGAAAAACAGCAACAGACGAATGCAATCCACACACACAAAACAAATAAATAATTCTACCAGCGAGCTTCAAATTAATCCACATTTTCAGTGCGCGAACAGCTCTGGTAGGGGAATATCCCCACGCCTCGTGGGGGAGGGGAATATATGGAAAATTATGTTTGCTGTATTTTTTATTCTAATTTCGAAATCAGTTCAATGCTCGCATCAAACATCAGAAATGCATTATGGCCACACCCTTTAGCCCCCCACACACTCATACACTCTTCATTAAAGTCCAAGGGCAACTCGCATTTGTCATGTTTTCTGCTTGCAAAACAAAAAAATTGCGCATATTTACAAGCTTACATATACACACATATCCTCACACACACACATACACACACACTCACACATAAAATGCTCAGCAAACAGATGTACAAGTGAGCAGAAAAGGGAGGCAGAGAGAGATGGCTGCACGTGCACGTCCAGCAGACGCAGGCAGGAATGGAACGCAAAGCAAAACAAAAAAATATCGACGCCAGGCAAATACTGAAGTTTACATGTATGTAAATATTCATGTGTGTGTGTGTGTATGTGTTGCATTTTATAACATGAGCGACTGGATTGCATTCTTTCCCACAAAAGTGACACACACACACACACATATACACATACTTGCTTGTGTGTGTGGGTGTCATAGAGCTGTCAAATTGACAGTTTAGAAATAGGAAAAAAATAGCACTCACCTTATAAACATCGCCATAGGTGCCCGAGCCAATTTTCTGTATAAGTTCGTATTCGTCCTGTGGATTGCGTCGCGAGATGTCCGCACTAAGCAAATTCGCATTGTGGTGACTACTGTGCGCGGCGGCCATGATGGGAACGGGGAGCGAAGAACAGGAGAAGAACGGCCAACGGCAATTCACAATAGACAGCAGCGACGCCTGCTGCTCTGCAACTGCGGCTGCTCTTTTTACTGTTGTTTTTGTTTTGTTATTGTTATTGTTTTGTTGTTCTTTTTGTTGGTTGTTTTTCTTTTTTTGGTGGCGCCGCCTGTTCCGGCAGTGGTTAAACTGCTGCTGCTGCTGCTGAAAATGGGCGCTTTTATTTTAATTTTATTAAATTATTTGCATTTTGTTTTATAAGAGTTATAAGCAGAAATGGAGTGTTGTGCGCTTCTTTTTTTATGCGTAGAGTTGCGTAACGTTAAACTAACTATTTGCGTATTTATAGCACTGGAATTTGTGTGGCAAAAAAAAAAAACAGGAAAACAAAATCGAAACCAATATTGAAATTAGCTAAAACATTTGACTCTATAATTAGGTAAAAAAAATTAATATATAAAAACAAAGACCAAATAAATAATAATAATAATGATAAACGCGACGCTGACGACGACGTTGACGTTAGCTTTGACGCCGACGTCGACGTCGGCGATGTGCAATGTGAGAGAAAGCGAGAGCGCCGGCAGCGACGTCAGCAGCGACGCGTCGCAGTCGCAAAAGTGGAAAAACAAGTGGCAGCAGCAGCAAAATTGTTGGCTTAATTTTTTCAATTTTTTTTTTGTAGATTATTTTGGGCGTTTTTGATTATTTTAAGCACTTTTATATATCGTATAACAAGCATAAACAGATGCCAATTGGATATATATCACTAACACCAACGCACACACAGACAAGCGACAGACACGGCGGCGTTGGCAAACACTGGCACAAACACACACACACACTCACACACGCACAGAGCCACACGCGACAACAACAACAAGAACAACAAGGCGACGACAACTGCGGCTGCTGCTTCTTCTTTTCAGCAGCAGCAGCGACAGCTTTGTGCTTCTTCTTTACAGCCGTATGATTTTTGATTCCATGTTGCGAACGAGGCGTGTCTTTGTCTGTTGTTGTTGTTGCTGGCACTTAGATAGATTCTTATAATTTTTTTATTTTATGATTAATTTTTACGCACCAGAAGCGCACAAACACATATAACAGAGAGGCGAGCGACCGACCGACGAATGCAGCGCAAGAACAAATACAAATACAATGCGCGCACCTACAAATTTTTTTTTTCTTCCCAACCAGGTTTGTTGCGCACTCACATGGCACTGTTAACTAACAATGTTAGACTAAATGTTGCTACAACTGGAAGCAATGTTGCAGCACATGTTGCTCAACTGCACAGCGCTGCTAATTGAGTCATTTCGCTCCTGAACAGGTTTTGTTTGTCTTAAAATCTCAATGGTACACTAATAAATGCGAGTAAAACAGCGAAATATTACTTGGGCCATGCACGTGTCAGCTGCAACTACATTTGTACTCAAAATGGTACTGTTAGCTTCAATCGATAGGAATTATTAACTTATATGGCCCCGTTGGGAAAATAATCGATTTGTGCCCTAAGCAGCTGTTCATACAGCGTTGCCACCAGTTGGGAAGTCAACTGTGGGCAGTAGCGCGCCACATTCAAAAGTGCAATAACAAGATATTTACTTTTGTTACAAAATATTTGTCTTCTTTTCTTTAATTCTTATTCATTATGGCAAAAAAGGTTTCTCTGATGTATAAAATAAATAACAGATTTCTGAACTTAATTTTTTTTCGGAAAAACCCAACTTAAAAACCTAAAATAGCCAAATAAAAACACGGTTTTGAAAGTAAATTCAAATTTGTTATTATATAAAAATCAATCTGCCTGCACAAGAGTGTTAAACAATTCGTGAGAACATGAAGCCGCTGCTAGCAGCTGTTAGGGTACACGAACAGCTGTTTCATCAGTGTTCGTAAACACGAGTTTGTGGTATATTTAGAACTATCGATGATCGATAACGATAAGTTTGATTCCGGTCACTTCTAAATTGATTTCTTCTTGTTAAATTTTGTAAATAAAATCCAATCAGATGCACGACAGATATGTGCAACATATATTCGGGCAATCACAATAAAGCGTACAACTATCATTGAGAGCCAACAGCAGCGTTCGACAAAATTACAACAAACACAAATCATCAAAGCTGCATGACGTAGTCCGCCTAAAACTGGGGAGAAAAAGACGTCAACAGATAAGAAACTCTAAGGGAATCTCTAAAGGAATCTGTGTAAGATTTGTGCTTTACATTAACGCCTCGACTATTTAGTGGCTTCTTGATTTTAGGTGTGCTGCGAGCATGTTGCTTTGCGGCTTGCGACTGGTGCAACGCCGGCAACAACAATTCATGCGCTCCACTTGCTACTGGCGGCGAGCCGTGCAGCCACAACGCGTTGCCTGGTCGTATGGCCTGCAGTGCAACGAGTGCACACCACTGAGGCTGCAGGCACGAAGTCGCCTAGGCGGAGGAGGAGTTTGGCTCCACTTTCAGTTTCGTTGCACTGCCAGCAACAAGGATAACAATAAGGAGGCGCCGGTTGAGAAGCAGCCCAAGGAGGATGCAGCCAAGCTGCAAACGAAAAACTATGAGTTAAAAACCAGCAAAGGCATTCTATCGATCACCACTACCATCGAGGACTCCAAAATCAATGAGATTGTGTTCGAGAAGACGGAGTTGTCACCGGTGGCCAAACTAAATGAGCCGGCGCTCAATCAGGTGCCCATGTCGGACACAACAGTCCTCGAGAGTGCACCGACAGCAATCACAATGCTGACAGAGACATCTGCACCAAAGCCAGCCAAGGAAACCACGGAAGCCACAGAGGCATCGGCGGCTACAGCGGCGCCAGTGACGCCGCCGCCGCCGACGGCACCAAAACGTCCACGTTTCGATTATCGCATTTCGCTGGAGCGTAATTTTGTGACGCCCGCTCGAGCCATCTCCGATTTTATGCTTACCCTCAACGATCTGGAGAAGCTGCCCAAGATCAAGCGACGCTCCCGTACGAACAGGAGCCACCGATGACCGTCTATTGGCGGCGGGATGTGGAGGCAAAGGCGCTGGAAGTTTGGGGCTCCCGCGAGAATATTGTTCGCGAGCGACTCAAACGGGAAGTGGAACGCAAACAGTATCAGCAGAGTAAGTGCATCAATGGCAGCTCCAAGAGATTAGCATAGTAATGGCCACTCTTTGCAGATGTGTTCACGGTGAAGCGGCGCCTGCGCGACTATCGACGGGAGGTGGGTTCGCGCACCAAGGCGCTGACGGACAGTGAAAAGGATGCGGAGAAATCCAGTCAAGTGGTGGCCACCGCCATTGCCATGTGAGTGCATATCCGACTGCTAAATACTATATGTGTGTGTATTGGTGACTACAGCATTCAAAGGTCTGTTTGGAAGGTCTTCCAAGTTTGGTGACTATTTTTAAAATGATGGGAGCGCTCAACATATTAAAACTTAATCTAGAATATGTTACAAGCTTCAAGGAGCTTTAAGGAAACCAATATACCCCTCTATCTGCCTTAGCCGAGTATCAAAGAAATGGATACTTATTTTAATAACTTGTCGATTTCATAAATGTTGCAGCAATGCAGCGAATTTGTTGTTCAAATTCGGTGGCTGGGCCTACAGCGGGTCGCACAGCATGTTCGCGGAGGTTATCCACTCGCTGGCGGATCTGGTGAACCAGTTGATATTGGCCTTTGGCACTACAAGTCGTCGCAGGTGCCGGACACAGTGCATCCCTATGGCTATATGAATATGCGTTATGTCTCCTCGCTCATCTCGGGCGTGGGCATCTTTTGTGTGGGCAGCGGTCTGTCGATATATCATGGCATCGAAGGCATACTGCATCCGCAGCCAATTGCCGATCTCTTTTGGGTGTACTGCATCCTGGCCGGTTCGCTCGTCTCCGAGGGCGCCACCCTTATGGTGGCCATCAATGAACTGAAGCGTGCCGCCAAAGTCAACAATATGAGCTTTAAAGATTACGGTATGGATTTGGATTGTGTTAGTGTAGTGTGTTATATATGTATATTATATCTATTGTTATTTGCAGTAATTGCCGGCAAGGATCCGTGCGTAAATGTGGTGCTTTGCGAGGATGCAGCTGCCGTTGCAGGGGTTATGGTTGCCGCCGGTTGCATGGGTCTAAGCAGCATGACGGGTTCCCCACTGTTTGATGCGGCAGGTTCTTTGGTTATTGGTGGTTTGCTGGGCGCCGTTGCTTCCTTTATAATCTACACGAATGCGAATGCATTGGTCGGTGTCTCCATCACCAAGGATCGTTTGGAGAAGATCAATGCGGCACTAGAAGCTGATGTGATGATACGCGCTATATACGATGTCAAGGGCATTGACATTGGAAATGGCCGTGTGCGCTATAAGGTTGGACCTTTGCTCATCCATTTAATGTTGTACCATTCAAAACTGATACTGTTTCAGGCTGAGCTGGACTTTGATGGACGCGAACTGACCCGTTCATATTTGGACAAACAGGATCTGAATAAGCTGCTGACGGTGTGCTATATATATTCACTCTATTATCTACTTATATATAATATATTTCTATATATTTGGCAGATTGTGCGCGGCTTTCGTAATGCGGATGATCTGGAGAGCTTTCTGCTGGATCAGGGCGAGAGCATTGTGGACCTGATGGGCGGTGAAATTGATCGCATCGAAATGAATTTGCGCGTGAGTTGAAATTACTTTCACTTCTCGAGTAAAAACAATTTATTTCCTGTACATATTTCAGAGGCAATTTCCCGAAATACGTCACGTCGATCTAGAAATACTCTAAAGTCTCAGTTGCTGGATGCTACCATTAATATATATATATATATATCTGTATATATACATGGAATGGACGTGCTGAATGTCTCCCCAAAAGCTCTCAATCAAAATTGCCCGTCTATTTTATATTTATATCGGTTGACAGTTAGTTGTTTTTAGCCTAAATTCAATTTTGATAAATAAGTTTGCTAGTTGTTTCTTCGGGTAGCTAAAAAGCACACAAAATAACTTAGATTAAGCTTTAAATTGTACTAGTTGCTTAAATTTGCAGCCAAAGGCACCGTTTTCTTAACGTTAACGGTTAAGTTGGTAGTTCTTGTCTTAAATTTGACTCCAAAATGATAATTCAAAAGTTGCTTGCTAAATGCTTAACTTAAATTAAAGCTGGAAATTGTGTTCTTCAACTAAGCCTAAAGATCTGCTATGTATTGTAAAACAATAAAACTTAATACAATTAATTAGTGCTAATCAAATTGCATAATTGAAACGGTTTGCAAAATGCTTGTGTTACTTAAATTATATACAGAAAAAAGAAATTAAATCAAAAAGAGATGTTATACAAGAGAAAAACAAGTAAACAAAAAATAAAACATGGGTTTGAGTAAAATATACATCTAATTTATAATAAATCATATTTTTTGTATATTTAAAATAGGTCTACAAATCGAAAAGGCTGCTTGGTAAACAAATCAATATAAAATATTCAATTTATCGTGTTATTATTTTAAATTAAATTTATGTATATTCAGCATAGCCTAGTCGGGTATGCCCAACTATGCTGTGTTCAGCAATTTCAATTCAATTCACGTGATTGTGAATTAGTTTCGAGTTGCTGCCTCGCATAAATAATGAGATTCTGTTTGACATCTGCGTGGCCGATTTTCTTTATATTTCGAATCAATTCTAGCCGGTCGACGCGAGTCTTACCGATTATAATTCGATTCGAAATATGGTAAGTGGAAAAGATACAACATCCTAGGGATACATGTTATGAGCTCCAAAGACATAGAAGCCCTCAGCCCAACAAAAATTCTCGCATTCTCCCAGGAGCTGGAGGAGGAGGAGGAACTATAAGCTCAGTAGGGGGCACAATAGATCAAGGAGGTCGCACTGCAGATAAAAGTAATGGTAAGTGAGCGTAACTAGATCACAGCTGTAGCTATAGTTAAAGTTATTGCGAAATAAGAAAACTAAAAACTTGATAATCAAGAATATATTTTCGATATAAGGTTGTTATCTCATTAATGTAGGAAACTATAGCTTCGCAATGGTATTCCATTACTATCTCAAGGTTTTTTAGTCCTTATCAACATCCTGGCTTTCTTCAATGAAGCATTGCGACCCGTAAATGCAAACCAATTAATGCCTTTGGCATATCTGGTATCATTATAAACTCCCATCAGATTGCTGTCAAATGTACAAAGTATATGAAAATCTATTACATAATATTGCTCATAGGAATTTAGTACCTTTGATGACACATTCCGTACCACCAGCCACCCAGAGAAGTCTCAGCACAGTTGCCAGAAAAATCATCGTTGTCTCGATCCCGAGCTGAGAACATTCTACCCCTATGGTATCGCAGATCATCCCCCGCATCTCCCGCGTATTTGCCCAGTTTGGTCAGTTTGTAGTTTTCCTCTTCGCTGGCGATTACAAATTGATCGTACTTTGCATAGGCTTGCCTTCCGTTGAAGTCCTCCATTTCTATGAGTAGTTCTTGATCCCCTGCTTTGGTCAAATGATGCAGTTTCTCCAGTCCGATGAAGTACTCGCCATCCAAAGTTCCGATACCTCTTTTGTACTCCTCCCATTTGCGAAAGAAGTCTACACTGCCATCCTGCCGCCTCAGCACCGTTATCCAGCCCCCGCCAATTGTGTCCTGATCGCAACTAACATTGAACGGGAGCTGACTGAAGCTGGCAACGATTATCGAATAGATGCTACTACCACGTTGAGTCGAGTTCAGGAAATCAATACAACTGCCACCGATCCCAATTGGCTCCAACTCTGGTTTCGTTTGATTCTGATTCTGATTCTGAATCAGAATCTGCTTCTTATTGTAAAGTTCAATCATCACCATATTCAGCGCGTTCCACTGAAGGTTGTTTTCTTTATCCATCCCATTGAATTTACTTATCAGCTCATTAAGTAAGATTCCGTGATGAACCTGCTCTCTTTTCAATTCATCCATTTCCCTGTTCATGCCCCTCGCCTCATATATATGATCGAACAGCTTCTGCAGCAGGTCGTCAATCCGATGTGATTGTTCTGTGCGTCTGTTTGTTGCGATAAGACAGAAGAGGGCTTTATTTATTTGTGTGCCTGAATAAATACAAACCGATATTGAAATACTTGCAGATGTGCATAGTTATTATCATGAGCATAAAGATCATGACACTTTATCACAGATACATATATTAGGAAAATGGTACAAATAGTTTTAAGTAACATTTTTAATTTTATTTTGAATATCTATTTGAACTCGGCACAGTTTTGACAGGACTAAAGAAAATGATCTGCTGGCGATTTAATTTATAGGCAGCAATACGCTATATTTGAATTAAGCTCATTTAAGCATGCAAAATTAAACAAATATTAAGAAACTGAAGAAATTAAATGTTAACGGTATGATTTGAACAGGTGGAACCAAAATCTTCTTAGGGTAAAATGCCATCTGTGGTCTGACCGATAAAGGAGTATAAATATATATATAATATTTATATGTATATTTTTGTAGGCTGGGAAATCGATCAAATTGCCCACAGTTTGAAAGCTACACACACCAAATCTGGTTGGGAAATTATCGGCGATGTTCTTCAAAGCTCAAAATTGGAAAATATATTAGCGATAACCGTCTTCAAGTATCTTCAAGTATCCACAAACCATATCTCTGAAAGTGTAAGTCGATAAAGCCGCATATCCCACAATTTTAAAGATAGAGTCGTCGAGCTTGGAGGTTAGATTACTAAGATCCTGCCTCAAAGATGGATATTTGTTGGCTGCACCTATCCTGTTCTATGTCAGCTGTTATCAAATGATATTACTTATTGGTATCAGAGTATTTCGCAGTCGGTTGCGTCCGTTTTCACTTGTTTTAATTGATTTTTTGATAATTTAATTCATTTTGAGGCAACGCCGTAGCCGCTCTCCCTCTCTATCACTCTTTTCTTTCAGTCATTGTCTCTCTGTGTGGGGGACTGCGTGCAGTTGGCTCTCTGTTTACAAATCGAACTTGCAGCAGCGATTGGGAGAAAGACAGAAGAGAGAGAGAGCCTGCGACGCCGGCGCAGACAGGCAGTGTTGAAGAGAGGCCAGTGTTAGGGAACTTCTGCATGTCGGCCGTCTTCGTTGCTGCTGGTCACTCTCTGTCTCGGTCTCAGCCGCAGTCGCAGTCGCAGTCATGTTTGGCGCGTGTATTGAAACGGTCTGCAAAATGCGTGTGTTCCTTAAATAAATAAAAAGAAATAAGAAATTAGAACAAAAATCAAAGAAAATATATATAAATATTTATATTGGGGTGAGTAAAATAAGTTTTTAATTTACAATAGACAATATTTGTTGTATTTCTTTAAATTGCAGATTGTAATCAAATCAATTTAGTAAGTAAAATATGCATTTAACATTAAATAGCATATATAGTATATTCAACATAGTCGAGACGGGACTGTGGACTGTATTCAGTTAGTTGACCCATTAATGGAAAAGGGTCGTCAATCCCCGGCACATCCAATTCAATTCACATGCTAATTAGTTTGGCAGCGTGAAGCGTGAGTTTCTGCCTCGCATAAATAAGTGATAAAAGAAATTTTCCACATTTGTTGACATTTTTCGACTGGCGTAACCGATTTTGTTTATATTGCGAACCGGTTCGCGTCTATCTCATCGGTTAGTATTAATTCGAAATATAAACAAAAATCGATTAGACAACTGGGATTGGTTGTTGAACCGAGTTGAGCCAAACAAGAGCGACATCAACAACAAACTTGACATTCTGCTGATTCAGTAAAAATCCAGTTTCCTTGCCCCGAATACTCAAGATTCAAATAGTGAATCAGCAATATATATATATTGTTGTTGAGCCTTATGCTGTAATGGGAACTCAATGTCACATAATGGGCAATCAATTGGCAATGGCTGTAATTGCAGCGAGCTGAGTTCAAAAGATTTGTCTGAAATTAGCATACATTCCAATCTCGACATTGCACCTTAATTAGTCTATCCAATGAGCTCTAATCTAATAACCCTCATCCATTTGTTTCACATTTCGCAGACAACAACAACACCAACAATAACAATAAAAAACAAGACAAATGAAGCAAGCATTCACATTGATGCAGCATCTGCATCTGCATCTTTTACTCTGCCCCATCAGCTTTGCCCTCGTTGCATGCCAATCGACGCAACCAAATATCATCTTTATTCTGGCTGATGATCTGGTAAGTGAGCTTAACAAGATTATAGCATTAGCTATTGCCTGCCTTTTTGAACTGCCACTCTTTTTTTTGTTGATATAATTATATAATTTTTGTTTTGTTTTGATTTTTGTAGGGCTTTAATGATGTTGGGTTTCGTGGCTCGGCACAGATTCCCACGCCCAATATCGATGCTTTGGCCTATTCGGGTCTCATCCTCAATCGCTACTATGTCAATCCAATTTGCACACCTTCCCGCTCAGCGCTCATGACCGGCAAATATCCCATACACACAGGTGAGTTCACGCCACAGTAGTCTCTCGGTAATTGGTACCACTTAGAATACCCTAACTTTATAAAAAACTAAGCTGATTTTCAATGCCAATACATTTTTGTTATTATATTACTATCGCAACATCTTCAAGGTATACTTATAATATATACAACTATATATAAAAATGTTAAAAATTCAAGTTAAAAATGAATAGTTTGATTATTCCCTATTGTACTTTGATAAGGTTGTTTTTTCGAAGATATTCAGCTACTATTCTAATCCCTTCTGTGTCACATCATTTACCATATTATCTTATTATTTTGTTAACTTTTCAGGCATGCAACATACGGTGCTCTATGCCGCAGAGCCGCGAGGCTTGCCACTGGATTTAAAAATACTGCCGCAATATCTCAACGAATTGGGGTGAGTCTGACTCGAATTGGGATGAGTCGAAAGCTGATCGCATTCCCTGTTGCAGGTACACCTCGCACATAGCCGGCAAGTGGCATTTGGGTCATTGGAAGCGTGTCTATACGCCGCTCTATAGGGGATTCAGTAGTCACGTGGGTTACTGGTCGGGACACCAGGATTATAATGATCACACGGCCGTGGAGCACGGCTATTGGGGCTTAGATATGCGCAATGGTACTGAGATCGCCTACGATCTGCATGGACAGTATACGACGGATGTGATTACGCAGCACTCGCTTCAAGTCATTGCCAATCACAAGCCGGCAAAGGGGCCACTCTTCCTGTATGTGGCACATGCAGCGGTGCACTCGGGTAATCCCTATAATCCACTGCCAGCCAGCGACGATGCAGTGCGTCGTTTGGATAAGATTCAGCACTACAAACGTCGGAAATATGCGGGTGAGTTGGATTATCTATTATATTATTATATTAAGATTACCTTGTGACTCATTCCTGATTACAAATGGCTTCTCTCTTTTCTTTCTCTCACTTAGCGTTGGTTACCGCCATGGATGAGTCGGTGGGCAAGATTGTGGAGCAGTTGCGTAAATCTCGCATGCTCGAGAACTCCATCATTGTCTTTTCGACGGACAACGGAGGTCCTGCCGAGGGTTTCAATTCAAACTTTGCCTCCAACTATCCACTGCGTGGTGTCAAGAACACCCTCTGGGAGGGTGGTGTGCGGGGTGCGGCACTCCTTTGGTCCCCCCAACTGACGAAACGTCCTCGTACTGCCGAGCAGCTAATGCATATGGTTGACTGGTTGCCTACGCTGGTGGAAGCAGCGGGTGGCAAGGTGGCGCTCTCCAAACTCGAGGCGGCCAAGCTGGATGGTGTTAGTCTGTGGCAGGCACTGGTGAGGAATGAGGCATCGCCACGGAACAGCATTCTGCACAATATCGATGATATTTGGGGCAGTGCCGCATTGAGTGTTGGGGTTTGGAAGCTGGTGCAGGGCAGCCACTACAATGGCTCCTGGGATGGCTGGTATGGGCCGGCAGGCTTGCGCAATCCCCACGATTACAACTGGCAACTGGTGACGAAGTGTGCGGCCGGTCAGGCCATGCAGCAATTGAAGATGCTGCCCCAACAAGCGGATATCATCAGGCTGCGCAAGGCAGCTACGGTGAGCTGCAAGGAGGCCAAAGTGAAGCCATCGCCAGACATCGCCTGCAATCCCCTCAAGGAGATCTGCCTCTTCAATGTGCTCGACGATCCCTGCGAGCAACGCAATCTGGCCAAGCAGTGAGTTGGAGAATACTCTTCTATATCTATGGTTAATCTCTAACTGAAACCGCTACGCTTGTTTCCAGGCATCCCAAGGTGTTGGCTCTGCTCTTAAATGAACTGCAGCTGTTTAATGCGACTGCGATTCCTCCTGCCAACAAACCCGATGATCCTCGTGGCGATCCCAGACTGTGGAACCACACATGGACTAATTTTGGCGATTATTCTGAAGGAAAGTACTATAAATAATCTCTAAACAATCATTTTTCATAATATAAAACATTGAAAACTTAATTGTAGTGTTTAGACTTTTCATTGCTTGCATCTTCTACGTTTTTGATTATTATATTTTTTTCACAGGTTTATTTAATCAGTTGAGCATATTTTATCGGTTGGCTATAGTTTGGTTTTATAGATTGAAATAAGGTCAGGCTTGGGGATTCTATTGTATAAATGTCAAACAGAAATTTGAAGAAGAACTTATCGATTTTTAAGCATCTCTTCTTTATAGATTGAAGTAAATTGAAGAAACTTCAAGGGGAATTATCAATCCCTGGTTATTTTGTAGTTGATGAAAATGAAGCGGCTTTATAAAAATATGTCTTTATTAAATTACATACTCATACTTATTGGCAAGCTTTAGCAACTTGATGCCTTAAGCAATATATCATGATATATCATCTACTCCTGCTCCAACTATCTTATCTTTTTTTGGGTACTTTTTTTGTTGTTCTCGTTTGCAACTAGAACGAGTTGAATGTTAAGTGCTAAGTGAATCTTTTAAGATTAGGAAGAGAATAGCGTTGAGATAGCGTTGAGATGTGTATAGAGTATAGAGTTGGGTACTGGATTCGGGTTAAAGGTGGATGGTGAATGGTAACTAGTTCATAGTGCTTAAAAACTATATATTGATCTACGTCTTGTGATAATCTCATCTGAAATGCTAGCTATGATGGGTGTGTTCTGTTCTCTGTTCGGTGTTCCGGTTTTGATTTCCTCTTTTTTTTTGGTGTCCTTTCAATATCTGTAACCGCTGCCATCGTTGTCACCATTCTGGCCACCAGGTCCGAAGCCATTGCGTCCCTGTCCCTGTCCTTGTCCGGGCCTGCCGCTGGAATAGCCACGACCATCGATGTTGTCCTGTCCATTGCCGCCATTCTGTCCGCTGGGACGACCACCTGAATAACCCTGTCCATCACCGCCATCCTGGCCAGTTACACGTCCTCTGATAATGACGCGACCACCATCGGAGCCACCATTACCATTATCATTGCCATTGCCGCCCGGCCGTCCGCTGGAATAACCGTTCGGGCCTAGATCTTGACCACCTGGACGACCACCAGAGTAGCCATTCTGACCCAAATCCTGTCCACCTGGACGACCACCAGAGTAGCCATTCTGACCCAAGTCCTGTCCACCTGGACGGCCACCAGAGTAACCATTTTGACCCAAATCCTGACCGCCGGGACGACCACCAGAGTAACCACCTTGAGCCGCATCTTGACCGCCAGGACGACCGCCAGAGTATCCATTCTGTCCGCCTGGGCGACCGCTAGAGTAACCATTCTGGCCCAAATCCTGTCCGCCGGGACGACCACCGGAGTAGCCATTCTGCCCCAAATCCTGTCCACCTGGACGACCGCTGGAGTAGCCAGCCTGACCCAAATCCTGACCGCCAGCGCCGCCAGCACCGCCAGCACCGCCAGCACCATTGGCATCGCCTTCGTAGCGAATCTGTGGACGATAACCTTGCTGATCCGCCTCATACTCAACGATCTGAAAGAGCAAAAAGCAAAGTTCAAATGGATTAGGATGAAGAAATGGTAATATAGATTTGTGTGCGACTCCTGTGTGTGGCACCTAGATGAGACTCGCTTACTTGCTTCCTTCCATCGGGCAACAGAACATTGTACTGGCCGGTGGTGAAGTCACCGTCGCGCATCTCTGAATGCCCGAATGAGAGCCCGCTTGGAGCGTCCTCAACTTGGTAATTAAATTCGTATTTAGCGGGCTCCTACGGCCGACAGAGAGGGAGAGAGAGAGAGCGAGCGAGAGAGCGTGTGGAGAGAGAAAGAGAGAGATAGATAGAGATAGGTACAAGATAGACTTAAGATGGAAAGACAGAGAAAGGGAGACACGCAAGGGAAAGTAAGAGAGATAGTAAGAGAGAGAGAGAGAGAGAGAGAGTACGAGAGTGAGTAAGAGAGAGAGTGAGTAAGACAGAGAGAGAGAGTAAGAGAGTGAGTAAGAGAGAGAGAGAGAGAGAGAGAGAGAGAGAGAGAGATTCTCAGAGAGCAGGCAAGAAGCGAGCCTTGTTTTTCTTTTGTTCTTTGTGCGCTGGAAGCCAAGTGGTAATCACAGGTCAATAATCAGTTTAGCTACTTACATCGTTATTGTAGTCGCCACCAGCACCGCCAGCACCACCGGGGCCACCACCAGCGCCAGCTCCTGATGCGGGCGGACCATATGAATCGGAAGGCTTGCCGCCACCGAAGCCACCTGTACCCTGACCCTGACCAGGAGCACCAGCTCCAGGGGCACCATAAGAATCTGAGGGTTTGCCACCGAAACCGCCTTGAGCCTGACCAGGAGCACCGTAGCTGCTGGAAGGACGTCCATTGCCGTTGCCTGCACCAGGAGCGCCATACGAATCGGATGGTCTGCCACCCTGTCCCTGACCTGGAGCACCATAGCTGCTGGAGGGACGCACATTACCGTTGCCATTGCCTGCGCCTGAAGCACCACCGAAGCCGCCCTGGCCTTGTCCTTGTCCAGGAGCGCCATAACTGCTCGAGGGACGTCCATTTCCGTTGCCATTGCCATTACCACCTGCAGGAGCACCATACGAATCCGAGGGTCTGCCAGCCTGTCCCTGACCCTGACCTGGAGCACCGTAGCTGCTGGAGGGACGACCATTGCCATTGCCGTTACCATTGCCAGCAGCACCCTGACCAGGAGCACCATAGCTGCTCGATGGACGTCCACCAAAACCGTTTTGTCCCTGGCTCTGACCAGGTGCGCCATAACTGCTCGAGGGACGACCATTTCCATTTCCGTTGCCATTACCAGCTGCAGGAGCGCCGTACGAATCGGAGGGCTTGCCGCCGAAGCCAGGTTGGCCCTGTCCCTGTCCCTGACCAGGAGCGCCATAGCTGCTCGAAGGTCTGCCGCCCTGTGCCTGTCCCTGACCCTGGCCGGGGGCGCCGTAGCTGTCGCCGGGAGTGGGCGGCAGATAGGTGTTGACGGGCGGTTCGGGGCGTGCCAGCACCGCCGTTGTCAGCAAGAGCATCAAACCAAATAACTTGAACATATTCCACGTGTGTGCGTTGAAAACTTGAAGCGGATTTTGTTGTTGGGTTTCTGTTTTTTATTGTATTTGCGGCACAAAGCAGCGCCAAATTCTGACTGATCTGGTTGTGCAGCCAGCGCGCATATTTATATGAAACGAAACTGAAAGTCTAGGATGCACACACACACTCACACAGAAGGTGTAGGGAGTCGCTTATGAGTTGATGCTGTTCGTGTGGCAACCGCAGCAGCGGCAGCAGCAGCAGCAGCAGCGACAACGATGACAACAACTGCAGCTGCCACATACGATCATCTTCAAAGCGCGCCACAACACAGCTGACGTTGTTGTCGTTGCAGTTGCAGTTGTTGTTGCAATTGTTGTTGCTGTTGTTGCTGTTGTTCTATTCGCCAGGCAACAAATCTCAATCTGAATCAAGCTCTGCTCTGCTCTGCGATTGTTTGTCGTTGTCAAAGTTGTAGCTGCAATCTTTTGAGTGTTTTTTGGCTGATTCGCCTTCCTTTTTTTTTCTGGGCGATTGTGATTGTTGCTGCCCCCGCTGCCACAGTCTCTGCCTGCCCCCTCCAGCCTCACTCTGTGTCGCTCTCGAACAAAGTAGACTACTCCGTCGGCTAGGTGAATGTTTGCGTTTTTGTTTGCCTTGTCAAAAAAAAAAGAAGAAAAAAACTGAAGAAGATCGTGCCACAGGCGACCCCAATTGGGTGTATGAGCAGCTCAAAAGTATTCACGTATGTGCATCGATCACAGTCGTTTGCCCAGATGGATGCGCAATTGAAATGCGTCTGATGGGCTTTTAGCCCCACAACAGTCTAGCCAAACAATTTGTAACGCCTGCCAAAAAAGATCATAAAAAAAAAAAAATAGCAGATGAAAAAGATTTATTTGATGCTGTCAAGCGTTTGACGCAAATATGGCTGGAGTATCTATCCTATAGACTGATTGATGGCTAAGGATAAGGATTGTGTGGGTGTTTAGCGGGCTGCATAATTGATAAACTACAATGGGATTCCTTAAGACGGAGTGCCAAAAAAATCATAAGAACGATAGTTTGAAAATGAAGCTAAGAATTCTTTATAGGCAAAGTGCCTAACACAAATTAACCCATCAATAGAAGAAATAGAAAAATGAGGCATAGTAACTAAGTCCATCAATAGAAATGGTTATAAAATATACTTGAATATATATACCAAATTGCAGCAAGATAGCTTTAAAGTTGAGTCAGTTCTGCTCTTCAAGTTCATAATGGCCCATAGCCCATGTTATTTAGATAGAAGATTAAATAGTAATGAATAAACTGATATAAGCTCCTTCAGTTTTTAATTATATGGCAAACATCCATCGATTTAAGCCATTGTGCATGAAACGATGCTTTAATTGAACCATACTTTGTCGGCAATCCACAAATTCGATTTATGTCAAATTAATTGTGCACAATTCTCACCTACTGTCAACTAAAGCCATTCCAATCCGGATCTCGAGTAGTAACAACAACTCCCACACACACACACAGACACAAGAAAAGAGTTGCTGTGTGTAAAATTAATTGCTCAACTACGTGCTTGGGAGTCGCCTTCAACTGCAACTGCAAATTCAACTCCAGCTGCAACTGCTCCATCTGGTCTTCCTTCTGCTCGTCGCCAGTTGGTGAAGACGTGTTGGGTCAAAAGTAAGTGATTTTATGTAGATAAAGACCAAGCGACGAGTCAGAGTAGGAGCCACGCTTAACCCACCATTGACCCACATAATTCAGCTGCGTCTTCAACTTCAACACAATCACAAAATATATTTTACAAAATTCAAAAACATTATTCGGTAGCCGTTTTGTTAGTTGCGATGTGATAATTGCGCTTATAGCGACCATAGATCTCCAGGAAGAGCAGGATGTGCACCAAATAGATGAGCACACAGACCACACAGCAATCGTAGAGCACCAGGAGCAGAAGTGCACCCAGATAGACACACAGCAGCAGCGTTAAAATCGCAGCCAGCAATTGCAGCTGACAAAGCCAGCGACGCTCATAAAAAGCTGCAAAGAATATACAGTTATATATATAAAGATGACGTCACATACTCACAGGTGAGAAAGAGGAGCGTGTAGAAAACAATGCCAATGAAGCCATTGGGCGGATTCAGATAGTCGTTGGACTCACCAACGATGAGCTGCGTCAAGCCAAAGCCACGCCCATAGCTGCAGGCAAGGATTGGTTGTATTTAAAATAAGGATTTATATTTCTCAACTCACTCGGATTTGAAGACCGCCGTGCAGCTAACACTTTCGGCCAAATCACAGAGTGCCGCATAGTTCTCGTCGTGATCGAGCTGAATTTTCACATATAGCGAATATATCGAGATGAGCAGACCGCAGAGGCACAGCAAGCGTAGGCGGGTTGTGGTGGCACCAAAAGGACAGGTCCATTTGCCGACGCACATACTCAGGCTGGCAAGGATAATGAATGAACTGAAACAGCGGCAGCATCCTTCTGCCACAACCTGTTAACGAGCTGAGTTGCCAGGCGGCTCGAGGCCAAGGGACTGTGTGAAAATACTTGTGAGCAGCGGCGCCACTCGACAACCCTGTTGTTGGCAGCTGCGCAGTTCAAAGGATGCAGGACCTGCAGGTGCGATTTTTTTCCATCTATTTACAGGTGCTGACGTAAGAACAACAGGTGAGAACAATTTGTCAACATATGGAAGCAAAGAAATGCTGGAAACTTGATAAAAATATTAGAATATTCTAGTGAAGAGAGCTCATGAAGGATATATCCTTAAACTAGCTATTAATTACAAAGTAGGCTAGCTGATTTTACTTTGTTCAATATAAAAATATGTTTTGGTTAACTAGATTTGCGTTTCTCATCCGAAAGTAGATAAACAATGTATATTCCTTATGGGCAGAGCATAAATAGAGCAATTTTCAGATTAAATTAAATATATACTTTTAATCGAGTAGTCAAAAAAGGAGCCACATTTACTATCCATAGCTTATATATTTATTTTGGGAGCAATGTTTAGCTTGAGAGAGAAAACCCCTTATCATATCTAACAAATGTAATATTTTTAATTAAAACAAAAATCTAATTGAAATTCGATCTGATAAATTGCTCAAATTCACTTTCATTTATGTTTATTTTGCCTTAGCAGGCATATTAAATCAAGCATATAATAAATATTGTGTCATTAGTTTCTTAAGCAATAATTAACCCAGAAAATCAACGCTGAACATTTTCCCATGCGCCCTGACGACATGCGATTATCTTCCTCCCCTCCCCCAAGCACCGTTAATGCAAATACTTTAGCTGTTTTGATTCCAACACTCCACTTTCAGTAACGCTTCATTGCATTCATTGCATATCAAATTAGCGACTCCAGGCGACATATTCCCCGCAAGACTTTAAGCAGACTTAAGAGACTTGAGGCCCCATCCAAAACAGATGGAGACAAAATGCATTAGACATGAGCGCTCATCTTGTAGCTTGTTTGTAAGCCATGTACCCATTACAAAATTACTACAAGGGGTATCATGAACTTGGGCAAACATAAGTCACAGGCAGAATGAGGAATCTGCGACGCTATAAGGTATATATATACATATATTCTTAGAGGTTTTAAGAGCTATGCACTTTAAAATTGAAACATATATTTTCGCATACCAAACGCAAATCAAGTTTATTCCATTTTCCATCGATAGATGACCACGCTTATCGATACTAATCGATTGTTGATATGAACGAATTTGGCATTCCAATTGATACATAATATACACAGACATAAGATTGATCAACTGCCAGAAGTTCATTAAGATCGGTTAAGAAACATACATTTTGTTAACCAATTTGAACAAACTACAGGGTATCTCCCAGTCGAGCTCAGTCGTCTAAAGCATTCTAATTTGTGTTTTTTGTGTTTTGTTTTCACGACGCAATCTGATGTTTGTTTGAAGTAGGTAAGCTTAAAGCATGTCCCTTTTTAATTTATAGCATCACGAATTTGAATTCATGTGCCCAGCTTCAGAGATAGACAGAGAGACAGGGGGGAGAGAGAGAGAGAGAGAGAAGAAAAGAGAGAGAAGAGCAACTGCATAAGTATTTTTTGTTTTATAAATTGCACTTAAATGTTGCCCAATCGTTAAAATAATATCTCAAAATTGCAGTAGCCTCGAAAGTCAAACTAAATTAGACCTAGAACAAAAGCCAATCTCTTCAAATAAAAATTAGAAAAGCTGAGGCAATAAATTTACGCAACCTTGAGTGACATCAGACAACAAACAGCTAAAAACAGTCACCGACAACTAACAACAACAACAACAACAAAACAACTGCTTTTTGTTCCCTTTAACAGCAGCTGTCAGTTTGGCTTAGACGCCACTTGACTGGCCAAATGAAATGTGGCCAAAAACAGTAACAAAAATATGGAGCAAATAATTAATGCAGGCAGTTTACTGAACTTTACACTTCAATTTATATAGAAGGGCTAATGCGACTGTTAATGCTAATGCCCCAGCTGCAGCTGCAAACTGTTCTTGCCACAAGTTTTTTTTTGTTATTTGTAATATTTTATTTTTTTTTTTTTCTTTTTTTTTTTTTTGTTGACTTGGAGTGCGCCACGCGCGACCCTCGAGTAGGTTTTTTGTTTTCGTTTTTTAACTAACAGATCCGCATTCGAATAGATTATGATGCACTTTCTGAAAAGGGATATGAATTTTGTTGTGCGGTGTGTGAAAAAAGTGTCATTCGTTACCCGATGTATATGTATACGTAGCTAATGCTGAATTATAATATAGTTGTCAGAGGAAGAATCGCTAGAAAGATGAGTTCTTGTGTGAAGAACTTTTTGGTTTGCCAAGACATCTGCACAAAGCTTACACAATATGCAAACTATAAAACTCCCAGCATTTATAAAAAAAAAATGCTTAAAGATCGAATTACTATATCCCATTGCTTGCATAGGAATAATCGGTCGAAAGATGAGTTCTTGTTTGAGAACCTCTCTTTTGCCAAGTTATCCAAACTAAACTCACAAAATATACATTTTATTGTGCTTCTCACGTTTCGTCAAAATCTCATCAACATCGGACTACTATATCAAATAATTCTAATAGGGAAACTCCATTCTGTAAGGGTATTTAAGGGTCGTGGTGCCTCAGAAAGTTGTTGTTGGTTGTGTTTTGTGTATCTTTTGAAGTGCAGCAAACAAAAGCGCCTCAAGTGCAGCTGACGACGGCAACCACAATCGAGATAATGATGAAGATGATTATGTTGCATATGGATGTGGATGTGGTTGTTGCTGTTGTTGTCATTGTTTGTGGATGTTGAAGGTAAATGCGTTGTCTCAAGATTCGCATTCGCATTCGCATTCGGATTCGCATTCGAATTTAGTTTTGTCGCCCGCTGCACGTGTACTGCCAACGAAGGAAGTTAAGGTTGCAACAACAGCTACAACCACTCTTTGTATTGGTGTTGCAATGTGGCAAGCTGGGCAAACAAAAGTGGCAAGCGCCTCATTTGTATGCGTCACTTGGCTTAATAAATTCCCAATTAATTAAAATCAAAGTTGTCATCGTTTTATAATGCTAATGATGTACACTTTAGTTGCCTTTTGCTTATTCTCAAGAACTTCAAATTAAAGAATTAAACGAACATTTTTCAAGTATTCACAAGCAAATCATTACATTAAATATAATTACCAACTTTGGTGTCATTTGAGTTTTGATTTGTGACAGAAAAGCCAAGAGGAATTGGGAACAGAGAGGCCCCTAATAACAGCGAGACATCTTAGAGAAGTAGAGGCACCAGATCTCAGACAAGCCAAATCTCTCCCAGTCCACTCTTATCCATAACGATTTAAGCAAGTCAAATTTAGGGGGAAGCATTGATTTGGAATATTAACAGCTCTCTTGAGAGAACAATGTAGATTAAGCAGTCAACTAACTGAATAAGATATATTATTCTACCTTCTTCTAGATTATTGAATGCGTTCTTGAATTAGGAGGGATGGAACAGCTGCCAGTGCAAAAAGGGGAACAATAGATCCAACAGTTTGGAGTACATTAAACCAATTTAATTATAAAAGCTTTCATTTCATATCACGTAGAAAGGTACTTTAACAAGTTCTTATTTGATTTCATAAAACTTTTAAAAATATATAAGTATAAAATAATTGGAATCGCCACAGATTAGAAGCACTTGCGATGTATAATGCTGGGACCGACTTCATCGTATTCAGCGGAATCGATCCACATATTCTGGAAGCTGGAGAGTGACGCTAGAACGGAACCGCCCGACCAAACGGCGAACCGACGTTCCGGATGGGCGGTGATCTTGATGCGCATCGTTGACGGCGCCAATGCGACAATATCACGTTGCAGGCGCACCTCGATATTACGGAACATTGTCGAGCCGCCCGATAAAACAATATTCGAGTACATGGACCGTCGCAAGTCCATATCACATTTGAGTATCGAATTGTAGATGTCCTCATGGACACCGGGCACCTCCAAGCCGAGCATGCTGGGCTTGAAGAGTGCCTCCGGACAACGGAAACGTTCGCTGCCCACATTAATTGTACGGCCATCGGGTAGCTCGTACAACTCATTGAGTTCATCCTTGCGCTGGGCAAACTGATGCAGTTCCTCATCGTAGTCACTGGCCACATAGCACAGCCGTTCCTTAATCTCCCTGACTATCTCAAGCTCGGCACTTGTGCTCAGTGTGTGACCACGTTCCATGAGCAACTTGCCCAGATAATTGGTCAAATCTCGACCGCCTAGATCGAGACGCATGCAGGCGTGGGGCAGTGCGTAACCCTCATAGATGGGCACCGAGTGGGTGACACCATCCCCAGAGTCAACCACAATGCCAATGGTTCGTCCTGTGGCATACAACGAGAGCACCGCTTGAATGGCCACATATAAAGCTGGCACACGAAAATATTCAAACATTAGTTCGGTCATCTTCTCGCGATTCTTTTTGGGATTCAAAGGCGGTTCGGTGAGCAGCACAGGATGTTCATCGGACTCGATGCGCAAGAGATTGTATGTATGTTTCCAGATCTTCTCCATGTCGCCCCAATTGGTGACGATGCCATGTTCCAGCGGATATTTGAGTGTTAAAATGCCGCGCTTCAGCGACGCATCGTTTCCAATCAAACAGTTCTCAATTGCCGAATCGAGGATGACATTCAAATGACGCGGTCTGCCCACAATTGAGGGGAAGACGACACTTGGCGTGGAGTCGCTGGCGATGCCCGCCTTGCATATACCAGAACCATTATCGATGATCACCGCATTGGAAGACATTGAATCCGCCGTTTGCATTTTGGCAACGCCTGCGGGAATTGTGGAAAAAAAGCAATTGAACCCAAAAAAAAAATTTAACTTACGATGCTTTAGAGATTTGAATAGAATGTGTAGTGCCCTTGGATTGGAAATATCTATGTTAATTTCCGAAGGCAGATAAAAATTCGACATATTTTCCTACGAACATTATTTCTATTTGTTCTATTATAATTCAAATTGTAACGGCCGCAACACTGTTAACGCCAATTATTAAGCACTGTTAAGTTGCTGTCGTGGAGCTGTTAATGAATGTCAGTATTTTTTTCTTTTTTTGGTATTTAAGTGTTTGCCGCCCGCTGTCACACTTGGCATCAGGTACAATAATAAGTCCATACAAATTTGGTAATTTTAATTGTAAATTGACAAGTTCTTTTCATTCTTAGTTTAAATATAAATATATATATACATAAAGAATATTGAAAGCATGTTTTTGGCACGCAGCATTACCAATGTGGCACGGTAAGTTCAAATTAGTGAATAATCAATAATGATTATAAGAAGGCAAAAGCCGGCGTCGATTACATAAATAGCATTTTACATTATTCGACTCTGAACTTGACTGTTAATTGCGCCGTCTCTTTTGTCGCACAGCTGTGCTCGCGGCAAGCATACATTGCCCAAGCTGCCCTACGATTATGCCGCGTTGGAGCCTATCATCTGTCGTGAAATAATGGAGCTGCACCACCAGAAGCATCATCAGACCTATGTCAACAATCTTAATGTGGCCGAGGAGCAGCTGGCCGAAGCCAAATCGAAGAGTGACACCACAAAAATCATACAATTGGCGCCCGCATTGCGTTTCAATGGTGGCGGTCATATAAATCATACGATTTTCTGGCAAAATCTTTCGCCCTCGAAATCAAAGCCAAGCGATGAACTCAAGAAAGCCATCGAATCGCAATGGAAAAGTTTCGAGGATTTTAAAAAGGAACTCAGCACGATGACGGTGGCCGTGCAAGGATCCGGATGGGGTTGGCTGGGCTATAATAGCAAGACTGGCAAGCTGCAACTGGCTGCGTTGCCCAATCAGGATCCGTTGGAGGCGTCGACAGGTTTAATTCCACTGTTTGGCATCGATGTTTGGGAGCATGCATACTATTTGCAGTATAAGAATGTGCGTCCCTCGTATGTGGAGGCGATTTGGGATATTGCCAATTGGGATGATATCTCTTGCCGTTATCAGGAGGCCAAGAAATTATGCTAAATTCACATATATGTATTTGAATTTGAATATGTAATAATTGCAAACAAAAACAAAATATTTGTCGAATAAAATTTGCTGCTAAATCAAGCTGCAGAGAATGTTATGAACACCCTGTGCACAGCTGTTTAGCAGCAGCAGCTGCAGCAACTGTTAATCAACACTGAACACACATCACAGCACTAGGCGCATCAGCTGTTTTGTTGTGGACAAAACAAACAAAAAATATCCAACTCAGGCTGAGTTCCGCCGACGCCTGAGTGGGCGGAAAAACTCACTCTTTTCCCACGCCCACATTGTGCGCAAGTGCAAACAATTTTTCCAGCACGCGCTTAACACTTGCAGCGAGTCGCGAGTCAAGTCGCGTCGAGTCTCTTTCAATTGGCGCTCGCGTTCGGTTCGCCTGTGCGGAATATTATTGCAATGCAAATGTGAAACAAAGGCCAAAAAAAAAAAAAAAAATTTACATATTTATTTAGATAATAAGCAAACGCATTAAAAACTGTATCGAAAAAATCAAGTGAGTGAAGTGGCTGACAACAACACAAAAATCCATCTGCAATAGGAAAAACTCCAATTGGAATTTTGAATGTGAGTAGCTCTTAAAATTTTCGATTACGATAGTCGGTTTTTTTTTTTTGTGGGTGACTAATGTAAAAATGTATGGAAAAATCAATATTCCAGTTGAGCACTGTTAACAGCGTCCTGTAAACGCGCACACGCATATCACACACACACATACGTGCAGAGTTGAACTTTAGTCTGTTATCCTGTTGCTGTTGTTGCTGTTGCTGTTATTGTTGGCTGCCAGCTGTTGTCCATACTGTCTATAAATAAGCTGCTCCTCTCACATCGAGCATATGGAGCAACCTGTCATCAGCGGCCAACGGCTATACTTATCACATAGCTCTCTCTCTCCCTCTCACATTTTCACCATTGCCTGCCCACAGTTATTTATTACTGTTATTGTTGTTGTTATTGTTGTGGTTTCTTCTTCTTGTTGCTCTTGGCTTGCTTGCAAATTGAAATGGAAATTGACAACTGACGTCAATTGAGTTTTAACGGCAAATATTTGATTATTATTTTCCCAACTGATGTGAGGCACCAAAAGTGCGTGTCCATTGAGTGAACAGGAACAAGTTCCACTTTCCCACTATGATTATAAATAATGTGGCACTTGCGAATTTCCCACTCATTTTCCTAGCATACATTTTTGGGCGCGTTTTATGCTAAACTTGTGATAATCATATTTACTATTAGATTTAAATACTTTTTATTGTATTATACATTTACATACACCTGTTATTATAACAGATATTCTTATAACTGACTGACTTAAAACTTAAAACAAGAAAATTTAATTTTAATTCTTAATTGGCTTATTTTCAAAACACACAAATTCTTAAACCTTCTAAATTTACTAATTTGTTCTTCTTTGTCGTGTTTACTTAAGCAGGTAACAGTACGAAGGAAGCAATTGCCAACCGCTAATATATATATATATATATATATATATATATATATATAGAGTATTTCCTCGTCGAGCTGTGTGGTCTAGAACATTGTAGCAGCTACAAAATACCTGTCCATGTTTTTTAGTTTGTTATGTTTGCTTAGCTGATTTTCTCTATATTTTCAAGCTTCACATTTTCTTATTTTTGCTTATTGCCTTTTCTTCAATTAAATACAGATGTATATACTTATTTGCTTGCATATTGTTGGCAACCTTTGACCTTTATCGCAATATGTTGCTCGCTGCTTCCCTTTACCTTTATGCCCCGCAAAAATACTCGTTGGGTAAAATGACAATGACAACGTCCATGTCCATGTTCATATCCCAGCTCATGTTCATGTCTGTGTGTCCATGTCCGTCCATCCGTCCACCGTTTGTCCGTCTGTCTGGCTGTCTTGACGGAGTGGGCGTTCCATTTCATATTTGCGCATCGCTTGGCAGTGCAAACTTTCCCTGTGTGCGTCACAAGACCATATTTTCTTCTGACTGGAATTGTGCTTTGTGCTTATTTAGTTTTAATAATGTAAAAGAACCTTAAAAACTATTTCTGAAAAGAGTCTTAACTTAATTATATTTAAACGATTAAATAGTTAAGATAATCCTAACTTAAAGTTCACATTTAAATGGTTAAATACTTTTCTAACTGTGTTTCGCCATATTTTTTGAAAGCAATTTTCTTCGCTCCCATTCTACAATTTTTTTCTTAAGTTTGACGTTTTCATTTTAGTGCCCCACATTTTATGCATTTAATCTTTGGCGCAAGGTGGCCGTTTGCCACATGTGCAGCCACATAAAGTGCCTTTAAAAATGTGCATGAATAAATAAAATACTTCACTAAGAACACTGCGTAATGGAAGAGAAATTACCGAAAACTTTTAGTACCTTTACAAAAGTAATTATAAAGTAAAATCGAGATTTTTTTGTTTTATTTTTGGGTACCTTATGCCCCTCAAGTGAATTTAATAGTAATATATTCGAGCTAACCCCTTCGACCGCAAGTGAGGGTAACAAAAAATGGCCAACGAAGCAATAAACATAAATTTCCGCTGAAAATAAAATAAAATAAAAATGTTGCGCAAAAGTGCAAAGAAAAAAGGAATAACGCTTTTTACCTGTACCCGCCTCAGCTGGTGGCACGACCGTAAAATGGCTTCCTGGCGGACACTTTTTTAAATATTGTGGTTTTTGAAGTCGCCTTCCTTATGCCCTTGCAGAGGGTATTTACATTTTGTAGTTAATGAAGTTAATAAAATATATATTTATCAGTAGAGTCTACATCTTGTCTCCGATAAATATATATAAGTATATATTTTTAATGAGTAGAGTCTATATCAAGCCCATCTCTCCGTCTATGGCAACTCTGTTTGTTGAAGCTTGCAAAAATTGTCGTATATTTGTTGCGCCAGTGATCTGAGCACTATATCATATAGCTGTCATATGAACTAACTGCCCAAATATGGATATAATAATTATAACAATGAATTCCAAACAATTCCAATCAAAGGGTATCTTAAATTCGGTCTAGGCTGGAAAATATGTTTTTAGTAACGCCTTGTTGCATGATTTATGTAACCAGAAAAGCACTTTTAAGTGTTCCCACTTCCAATTTGACTATTCTCAAATTGCAGTTGCTGCATTTTATGGGCTAGAAGTGGGCGAAATGAATGGGGCGTCACCGGCTCTTAGTCACCTACAAGTCGGCACCAACTTTCGCATCGAAACACGCGCGCCTAAAAAGCTATGCTGCCTGCTGGTGTGCGTGTGTGGCTCTCTCTCTCTCCCCCCCCTCTCTCTCTCTCTCGGACACACACGCAAGCAGCGGCGACAACGCGGCACCGAAAGTTACAACATTCCGGGCTCCACACACATTAGGGGTATTCATGTTTAACGAATGTCATAGAAAACAAAAGGAGCAGCCCTTGAAAAAACTTATGAGCTACTTGCGGATGAACTATGTACACAAAACAGCTACTATCAGGCATAGCCAATGATTACACTGAGAAAAACATGCAATAAGCTTAAAATATTGACTTTAAAATCCATTTGTTAAAAGAACAAATCAAGCATGCGCTCCGATTGTTTTTCTTGTTGGATTTTGGAATATTTGTTGTACCCAGTACATATGTAGATGAAGGCAGGATCGGCCTACTATAATATCATCAAGTGATTTTCTTAATATAGTTAAGTTCACTTTGGCTCGAATTTTGTTGCTAAGTAAGCACTTTTGTAAGCACTTTAAATACGTATGTAGCTCAGTCAAGTCAAGTCTTTATCTTTATGACGTCTGCAGACAATGCAAAACATCTAAAATTAAGTTTTATCGTTGAACTTGAGATTGCTATTTGTAACTCAAGCCCGAATTGTGGCTATCTTTTTGTTTTTTTTGTTTTTTTGTTTTTTGTTTTTTTGTTTTGCTAGACAGCAGCCTGTTTTTTTGGCTAGTGGGGTAGATTGGGGTGGGGCAGGAAGCGGGAGCGCGCGCGCTCCTCGAAAAGGATGATTCACCAAGTTTGACTGCTGACTCTCCTGCCTGCCGCTTTGTAGGTGCCACATCAAGCAGCCACTGTGGCAGCAATAACAACAACAACAAAAACAAAACTTGGCACGAACATGCGCCTTTTCTCTCTGTGATGAGTGTGTGTGTGTGGAGGACTTTTAGCATGACTCATTCGCTTTGCTGGTATGTGTGTGTGTGTATGTGAGCTTCGAACTGTGAGCTGTGTACTCTGTGTATGTGTGTTGTTTTTGTGTGGGCTGCCTTGCTTCGAGCTGCTTTTTGCTTCTTGCTGCTATTATTAATTTAAATAACAAAATCGCATTTGTTTTATGTAGCAGACTTAATGGACAACACAGCAGACGTCGCCAGCACCACTCGCTGTGCGCATATATCGTGTCTATACACTCGGAAAAGTATTGAGCATTTTCAGCCAAAGACCAAAAATAAATGTTAGGACAGGTTCTCGTTAATAAATGAGAAATCAGGTTTATATAATTTGATCGAAATCTTTCCTCTTTTTAAACCATTTCGATAGCAATAAAAACTACAATTTTTAAAATATAACCTTACAATTGATATAAAATCTATCCAGACATATTTTTGATCAACTGTAAGAATATCATTAAGTTAAAATGTCATTTTCATGCTGAGCAAAGCTATATTGGAAAGAGTCCAATTTTTAAGGTGGCTCAAAATGAGCATTCTAACTTGATTTGCCATCCTAAAACCTAAAAATGTTAAGCTATTACTATTATTATAATATTTCTCTTTTTAGAATAGTTGCTTTAGAGACATTCCATAATACCAAACTTGATCAGTTGTATGCTAATAGTGGTTTAGTTCATATTTAATGCACTCAATTGAGAAAACCCCTGTTTTTCTGTGAGTGTACTCTGTACTCTCCGTGTCTCTCTCTTCCCCTCCCTCTCTCCCTCTCTGCATATACTTTAGATTTTAGCTTAATTAATTGCAGTCACTTTTCGCACTAATTGAATTGCCCGCAAGCAGCAAATTAGAAAGCACAATTCAATTGTAAATGCCCCGCGAGCTGTGCCTTACAATTTGCTAGACGTCGCTTTAAACAAGTCAAGTGAGCATTTTTTTATAGGATGATGACACAAAAAAATGGAAAAAAAAGAAAAGAAATCCTCATCGTCTGTGAACTGTCATTGACATTGACGCACTTGCAACACCCTGTTGCCGTACCATAAAGCATGGGGCATAGGGCATGTGTGAGGAGAGTGTGCTTCAAGTCAATGGCTGGCAACCAAGTAGCAGCAGCAGCAACCACAGCAAAAACAAACAAATACGTCAACGACCCGCCACGTGCTGCGTAACCTTACCAGCACCCCTCCACTACAGCATCCATCCCGCACACCCCCCTCACAACCGAAAAATACGTTCGATATTAAATGGGTGGGTTGGCGTCCAACGTTTGCGTGCTGCATTTTCTATTGCGCAGCAATAGGATTTACCATCTAGTAACTTCCCTTACTCCCCTTCCCCTTCTCCCCCTCCTTTCCCCTTCCCCCCCTACGTCCACGCACAATCTTTACGTTGCGTCGCCATTCGATTTATGTATGTGAAACGAGTTTTATACTCAGCTTTTCAACTGCGTGGGCAGCGCAACTCTCTCTCTCTCTCTCGCTCTATCTTTCTCTCTTCATCTCTATCCCTGTTTCTTTCTCGTACTGCTGACATTTTGCAGTGTGAAAACGTATAAATCTTAAAGCATACTTTGACGCGCTACTAGTCAACTACATAAGTTCTCAGCTTAAATGTAGTAAAAAGTATAAAACAGCTATAACTTTAGCAAAACTAAGCCGATTTAAAGTCTCACAAATTTAACGTAAATAAAAGCAGCGCGAAGATATTTAATATGTTGTATTTTCCAAAAAGGACATACTTTGTTCCGAAATTACTGTTAAAATGAGAAATCAAAAGACATCAAACTTGATACTTAATTTAGAAAACTGTAGCTCCACAAAGATATTCAGCTGCTATTTCAATCTGTTTTAGTCCTTATCATCATCCTGACAGCTTTTAATGAAGAATCGCGAGACGTAAATTCGACCCAATTAATACCTTTGGCATATTGGGTCTCATTATAAGCTCCCATCAGATTGCTGTCAAATATACAAAGTATATTAATATGTAATACAAAATATTGCTCTGCAGAAATAAATTACCTGTCATGACAGTCTCCGTACCACCAGGCGCCCCTGGAAGTTTCAGCACAATTGTCTGCAGATGCATCATTGTCACGATCCCGGGTTGTGAACTTTTCCCCCTCATGATATCGCAAGTCATCGCCTGCATCTCCGGAGTATTTGCCCACTGTGATCAGTTTGTAGTCTTCCTCTTCGCTTCCGACCACAAATTCGTTATATTTTGCATGCCTTTCATCTCCTTCAAAGTCCTCCATTTCTATGAGTAGTTCTTGATCCCCATCTTTGGTCAGGTGATGCAGCTTGTCGAGCCCGATGAAGAACTCGCCAGTCAAATTACCGAAACCACTTTTATAGTGCTCCCAGAAGCGATAGAAATCGACACTGCCGTCCTTACGCACCAGCACCGTTGTCCAGCCCCCGCTCAGTTTGCTCTTCCTGCAGAGAACCTTAAACGGTTGCTGACTGTATTCAGGAATGCGGATCTGTTGGATTCCACTACGATTTGGCATCTCCGAACAGCTGTTGTGCAACAAGCTGGTTAAGTTGCCGACTTTCTCATTCATCTCATTGAGTTTGGCCAGCATCTCATTCAGTTGTTCTCTGCATATTTTTTGATATTCATAAGAATGAATACAAATCAAATTTCAAATACAAACCTCAACGCAACGAGCTCTAATTGTTGAGATTGGCTGCTGGCCCCACTGTTTTCAGAAGTTGTTTCGATTGCATTCCCACTTGTCTCGAAATTTTCATCGACTTGAACACTTTTACCTGCACATTCCAGCACAGATATATACAGCAGGAATATGGTAAAAATCGATCTAAGTAACATTTCTGCTTTGAATTATGTATTTGAACTAAGCACAGATTCCACAAGACTAAACAAGCTGAACCACTGACGACCTAATTTATATTAATACGGCTTAATTGTATGTCCTATATTATTTACTACACTCAGAAAAAATCACGTTCATTTTAGAAAATCGATATACTTTTAGGGATTTCTCTAAATATTATTTTTACTTTTAAAAAATGCATTTCTTAAGAACAGAAAATATTTCTAAACAAATAGAAGAATAAAAGACCTTAATTTTGGAATTATTGCTTGATGGGGAAATCTTTCTAATTTTAAGAAAAATGATTTCCTAAATTTAGAAATTATTTGTATTATTGGTAAGAACAAGAAAAGCTTTCTTTTCTAAATGTCAGCGATATTTTTCGGAGTGTTTTCTAATCTATTTTGTTTGAACCACACAGTTTTGGCAAAGGTGAAATAATTATCAGCATATATATATGTATATATACATATATATATATATATATATATGAATATATGCCTTGCTGATAATTTTATATGTGTTAGTATCAAAGTCATTATGACCGATCCTGACATATACAGTTCAAGGCCAGAAACTACAATTATTTGTCGCTATTTTGAAACCGAAATGAAATAACAGCCATTGCTAGTGTTTAACATGAGAAATATGAAGACAACAACGTAGATTTTTGGTGATTTATTCGCTCTTGTTACATCATGTACTGAAATCAACAATAAATTGTTAAAATATGGATGTTTCTTGTGTAGATTAAAGACGAAAATAGATGATATTTCAATCCTTTTTTTTTAGTCCTTATCATCATCAGGACAACACGATAACTAATGAAGAATCAATCTGCTCTGATCTGTATATGTCGATAATGCCCTCCAAACTTGTCACCTTATTGAATTTCTTACTCATTGTTGATTCATTGACTTTACCCATTAGCTAATTCTGTTGTGCTCTGCGTATAGTTTAATAAGAGAGTTTCGACTACATAAATGAATACAAACTATATTTGAAATACAAACCTAATCTCGATGAGCTTTACTGCAAATGTCTCTGATTTCGAAACCAATTTCGGTTAATTGTTGAATATCGCAGTTTTTTATTATCTGTGTTTCATCATTTATCTGTATTTCAACTAAAAACAGATCGAAGAGTACGAATAGTAAGTACTTTTAAATTTATATTTTGTTCTTATTCTTTTTCCTTAATTTTCAAATTAACTTTCTGCAAATATGTCTTTAAAATTTTGATTACTTACGTATTTCTTCGTGATAATGATTCTCACGCTTTCCACTTCATCTTATATGTGATATCATCATGTTAATAGAGCTTGTTCTTATGTACTTTTATGTATCTACTAATCACAAATAGCATTAAATTTCAATATAATTTTTGCTTCTGCCAGCTAGTTTGTTAGTTGTAGAAAACATATCCTTGCCCAATGCTCATAACATGATTTTTTATTGTTTATATGGACATTAACTGTTAACTTTGTCTACTATCTACACACGTGTACTGCCAACCATTTCAATGTCAAAGCAATTACGTTAGAAATCATTGTTTCTAGCAGACATTAGGGGGGGAAAAACAAAGCATAAAAAGCTCATTCAAGCTTAAGGAGAAATCAATACAAATTTCATTGTACGTCATCAGCCAACACTATGAAATCAAGCTACTTGTACATTTACTACTGTATCTACACTGACGGTCAGAAAAAGTGTATCGCCAGTTCGTTTAGCACGCAACATAATGAATTGTATTGGCTATAAATCTTAGGATTACAATTACTCATTGGAAAGGTAAACATGATGATAGGACTCATGACATTTTCTAGAAGGCATGTATATTATTATCACTAAGGATTACAGATATGTATTACTGCCTATAAAGTAAGTTGCTAGCGGCTGAGCTTCTTTAGTCTTCTTGGAACTGCGCTCTCCTCAAGTACATTCAAAGCAAAAATGGTACTTAAAATTATTTGCTTTATATTCGTATTAAATATATATGTGCCAAAATGTGCATGTGAATGTGATGTAGATGATAAGAAGGTGCCATATTCAACCGTTAAATATGCCAACGAAACTGAAATACGTTTCGAAATCAGACATATTTGCAATAAGGTTGAGCAATTACAGCTCCTCGAGATTAGGTTTGTATTTCAAATTTAGTTTGTATTAATTTATGTAGTTGACACTATCTTATTAAACTATACGCAGATCACAACAGAATCGTCAGAGCGACTTGCTGAATCAGCTAATGGGTAAAGTCAATGAATCAACAATGGAACAGAATAGCCAGAGGAACTTGTCAAATAATGTTCTGGGTATGCTCAATGAGCTGAGTGAGAAGTTTAATAAGGTGACAAACTTGGAGCACAATATCAAAATATATAAAGCAGAACAGATTCGTCAGGGGAACTTTCTGGAGGAGCTTATGAGTAAAATCAAAGAGTCGATAACAGAACTGATTAATCAGAGAACCTTGCTGAATGAGATTGTGGGTAAAGTCAATGGGTCGACAACCGATCGGATTTGCCAGAGCGATTTGCTGAATAAGTTGACAAGCTTGGACCCAATTCAAATTCACGATCGCTCTGGGGACAATTGTGCCTGCGTATATAAAGGCGCCTGGTGGTACCATGACTGTCATAACAGGTAAAGCACCCTACATTTGTTATTAATGAGCAATTGTATCTTAATATATGTTTATATTGCACAGCAATCTGATGGGAAAATACAATGAAAAACAATATGGCAAAGGCATTAATTGGGAGACCTTCACCAATTTCGAGTCCTCATTAAAACGTGTCCAGATGATGATAAGACCAAGAAGGAAATGAAATAGTTGCTGAACACATTTTCTTTGCTCTAGATAGACTTTACTTTATTTACAAGCGGTTAACTGTAATTTTAACATGAATTTCAATTTAGTTTTCAAATTCAGAAGATGTATTGATTTGCAGGCTAAATACTTTACCAATAATGCTTTGGAAAATCGATTAAATTAAAAAAAAAGTATGAAACTTTTTAGGGTTTAATTTTAATTTTAATTTCCAGCTAGGAGCGCTTTTCCAACTTCGAATTTAGTATTCTATTTTATTTATTATCTGTATTTTATATTTAGTATTATAGGTCAAATCAGGTCAATCGAAAAGTCGGTTTCTGTTTTGACAAAATGTTAGCTGTGCAAAATTTGCTTTTTTGGGGCTTTAACATAAGGCGCATACTTTTGACAGTCAATGTGAGTTTGTTATTATTGCGCTGGCTCTTTGATGAAATTTTTCGCATAGCTGTCATACCAAAGCTGCATCACCCAACCACTACCACTCCAGCTGCTCCCCGTAGCAACCCTTAACGCGAGGAAATGTGAAGCGCATGCGCCTTAAATGAGGGGCTGCTGAAGCTGCCTTTTGGCCAACTCGGCTCACTGCGTCGTCTACGTCCAACGGGTGCAGTTGATATTGGCTCAAAGCGCGCGCGTTTTTCTCTGGCCTCCGCCTCGATTGGCCATCGATTTTGTGCAAAATAGAAATAAAAAGAACCAAAAAAAAAAAAAAAATTAAAAAAGGCAAATAATTGTGATTAAAATCTAACTCAAAAAGTAACCAAAACTAACAAGATAGTTGAGAAATCAAAGAAAGTGCTGCCATTTGCATGCCTTGGCTGCCAAAGCTCTTGAGCTATGTGAAAAATTTTCGCTGTTATACAGAAGAAAGCGTTACATACATAGATATATACATATATATATATATATATGTATATATATATCTATTTATATATATATCTATCTATATATATACTTTGACACATATATGCTTGTATTGGGAATATTTACGAAAAATACGAATGTGCGCATTTGGTTATTTATTGTTTTTTGCTTTATTGCTAACAACAATTTTGGTGCTATCGATCATATTTGCCACGTCCTCGAAGAGATCCATGATGGATAGTTTTATACTCGTTTTTAATTACACACAAGATGAGCAGCAGCAACAGCAACAACAACAAGAACAACTGCAGCAGGAGTTACAGCAACAACAACAACAACAACAACAACAGCAACAGCAATTTCTCTTCAAGCCGAAATTATTTTGAGTTTTTATTGTACTACTATTTTGCCCACCCATCAATTGGTAAATGCTTCAAAAATATCAAGATAAATATTTTGCAAAATTTCCATTAATTCGCCAAATAAACATTTCAAAATTTCAGCAAAATGTCCACCAAACCAAATGCATTTCTCATCCTGTTTTGCGCTTAGTTTTTATATAATTTTATTTTCGATTTTAAATTTCTTGATTACATATATATATGTGTATATTTTCTACAGTAGCCTCGAAATAAATGTGCCCAGAGAGATAGAGAGAGAGAGAGAGAGCATCCTTCTGTAGAGTTTTGTGTTCAGGTGTAGAGTTCTTATTTTTTTGTGTAATATTTTTTTTTAGCCCTTGCGAAGGCAACATGAAAATTTATTAATAAAGGTCAAGACGACCCAAGTGAAGGATATGCTCGAGAAGTCCTCGCGGTGTCTGTGTGTGTGTATGTAATTTAATGGTCATGGTGGTTGTGCGGTGCTTGAAACCATAAAAGAACCACAACATGACACATCGCAATAAAGAAGTGAAATGTGAAGGATTAGTTACGTGTCTGAAGGACCTGCGGGCAACTGACTGACAGCACTTGCATGAAGTTCAAGAAATGCCAAGAAATGAGTAATTGCAGCTAAGGCTAGAAATAACTAAAAGCTAAACAAAATAAATATCAAATTAAGAACTACTAAGTGAAGTCAGAAACTTATTTTAAACTCAATATCTTTAAGCTTTTTTGTCCATAAGTTTTATGCTTAAGTCCAGAATATATTCCTGATAGCTGGGCAGTAAAGGGGAAAAATCATTTTTTGAAAGTTCATTCTAATTTTGTTAGTAAAGAAAGCAATAATCGCTTATATAAATTCGATAGCTTACAAAAATCGATTCTACCATTTTAGGACTTATTTTGCATTTGATTATATTTATTTTTATTATTTATTTAATATTTCTAATTTCTAGCACATTCAAAGTAAAGACATCACAGCATACAAAAAAAAAAATAATTATAAACATTTCACAAATATTTGCTAATGCTCTCGCTCTCACTCACAGACTTTCACTCTCTCTCTCTCTCTCTCTCTCTCTCTCTCTGTATGCCCTCTTTGTATCTGACGTCTGCGCCATCAAATTCTTTGTAGACTTTTCCCCAGCATTTTTGCAGGCTGTTGCATTTTGGCGTTGACAATAATATAAACAAAAGTCCTTACGACAGGTAAACAGAGAGAAGCCTAAATGAGTATATCAACCAGAGAGAGAGAGAGAGATTGGAGAAAGGGAGAGAGTGCAAGCATTTCTTGCAGCTGCGCATAATTTTGTGCTTTTAGGCTAACACTCATTGGAAGTGTTTTAAAGTTTTCCCTTGTCCTGTGTCTTAATATTCTAGGACTCCACTGTGAGCGAGTTAAAGAATTTTGCTTGGCCGTGTGAAAAACTGTGTGCGGCATTTCAAAATTGAAAATGTGCGAATAAAACGAAATTAAATGCCAAAAAACATATTAAATTAACAACAAATTCATTCCGTCGCCTTAAATAACAATAACAATTGCTCATAATATGATCAAGGCGAAGGACTTTGCCTAAGTGAACAGCCAACAGTGTAAGCCAGCATTTTGTTTGGCTTCAAAACCAAAAGTAAAGGTAAATCATAAAAGTTTTCAAGACGTTTATAAATTACTAATACATTTATATATATTTATATATATATAAATACATATATATATACATATATATACATATATATATACATATGTGTGTATTTTATAGCTCTTTACATAGACATATCAAAATGTTGGGTATGAGGGGTTTTTCTTTTCCGTTGATGACTCATTCGAGTGCCTGACACTCGGCTGCGCTTTTATTGGAAATGTGGATTGTGGAATTTTTTCTAGTATGTACACATACACATGTGTGTGTGTTGTTCTTGTTGTTGTGTGTATATATATGTGTGTGTGTGTGTGTGTGTGTGCGAGTGGGGATTTGAGAGTGAGCAACATAACTATAAAAGTCAGCAGGGTAGCAGGTTACACAAAACTATTTACATATTTACATAAAGGATGTCGAAAATAAAATGCAATTTCTGAAATTTTAATACTCATAGACTTTAATGAAAAGTAAAAAACATAATTTCTCAAACTAAGACTATTGAAATTTATTTAAATGTGAAGAAATGCAATTTCAAAATGTTTATGCTCATAAACTTTAATCTACTCAAGAACAGTTGAGACAGTAATAAAAAACAATCAAATGAACTTAAAAATTGTTGTTATACTAAAGTTTTAGGCTTCCGAAAATTCACTTCTATAACTGAATTTTCATTGACTGCTTCTACACCTTTTATAAAGAATGGAATTTCCATCTACTTTAAGTGTCCCTAAGTAATCGTACATTAACTTTTAGTGGGCGCGGTTAGTTCCTATATAGAGGCATACTCTATAAAGCTGTTTGTAATTATATATCATCAAGTAGTAACTACTGGAAAGCGATAACTATGTGCTTTGCGGTTGGGTCTTAACTTCTTTTTTTTTTGCCCCACTGCAATCATATAAATTTGATTCGAACCCCCAGCGATTTGCATGAGTCACAGTTCACAAACACACACAGACACACTGAGACACACATTGAGACACACACGCACCCACCAATGTAGCTGAGCCAATTATAAAATGACGCTGGGGTTGTGCGGTTTCTCGCATATTTATGGGCCAGATTGGCAGGCTCGCATAACATTTTCTCGAGTATAAAAAGTGCTCTCTTCTCTCTCTGCTCCACTCCAGTTAAGAGCCAGCTAAGACAAGTGAAGTAGGCGCCCGTTGCCGGGGAACACTAGCGAAAATGTCGTCGGTTAAGGTAGCGGTGCGTGTGCGCCCGTTCAACTCCAGGGAGATTGGCCGCGAGTCCAAATGCATCATCGAGATGACCGGCGCCACAACGGGTGAGTCTGCCTCAAATATACACACAGCCTAAAGCAACTAATTTCGAATCCATTCTCATTTTTGATAGCCATTACCAATCCGAAGGTGCCACCGAACACAAGCGAGTCCGTGAAACGCTTCAACTTTGATTACTCCTACTGGTCCCATGATGTAAGAGAACCCCAAACAAAAGATAAAAACTCAATAATAAACTCTAATCCATTGACAGCCCCGCGATTCGGACTTCTCCACACAATCGATGGTCTACAAGGACATTGGCGAGGAGATGCTGCAGCACTCCTTCGATGGCTACAATGTCTGCATCTTTGCCTATGGCCAGACTGGTGCCGGCAAGTCATACACCATGATGGGGCGACAGGAGGAGCAGCAGGAGGGCATTATACCGATGATATGCAAGGATCTATTCGGTCGCATACAGGACACCGAAAACGATGAGCTCAAGTATTCCGTGGAGGTCTCCTACATGGAGATCTATTGCGAACGTGTGCGTGATCTGCTGAATCCCAAGAACAAGGGCAATTTGCGTGTGCGAGAGCATCCACTGCTCGGCCCCTATGTAGAGGATCTCTCCAAGCTGGCCGTCACCGACTATCAGGATATACACGATCTCATTGATGAGGGCAACAAGGCGCGGTTGGTTTTATTGAGACATCCCAGCTTCCCTGAACTTTCCTTATTTTACTGTCTGTGTGTCTGTCTTTAGCACTGTGGCCGCCACCAACATGAACGAGACAAGCTCCCGTTCCCATGCTGTCTTCACCATCTTCTTTACACAGCGTCGTCACGACACCATGACCGACTTGTTTACCGAGAAGGTCTCCAAGATCAGCCTGGTCGATTTGGCTGGCTCGGAGCGTGCTGATTCCACAGGCGCCAAAGGCACTCGCTTGAAGGAGGGCGCCAACATCAACAAATCCTTGACCACACTGGGCAAAGTCATCTCCGCCCTGGCGGAAGTTGTAAGTAGATGGGAACTTGAATTTGAGAAGATCTTTTTTGTATTCTTGCAGAGTAATTAAAAGTCTTTTGTCTGACTATCAAATCTAATCTCAACTATCAGAAATTCTGCAAGGGTATTTAAACTTCGGCCTGGCCGATGATAACTTTCATTTACCTATTATTAACTGCATTCTGGTATTGTTTGTGCTGCATCCTTTAACTGACAGTCTGTAAGTATTTGAATAAGTCTCTATTTCTGCCTCTCTAAGCTGACTAACTCTCTCTCTCTCTCTCTCTCTCTCTCTCTCTCTCTCTCTCTCTCTCTCTCTGCCTCTAGGCATCCAAGAAGAAGAACTCCAAGAAGGCAGATTTTATACCTTATCGCGACTCGGCCTTGACTTGGCTGCTGCGTGAGAATCTCGGTGGCAATTCGAAGACAGCGATGATTGCTGCCATCTCGCCAGCTGATATTAACTACGATGAAACTCTGAGCACTCTACGGTAAGTTAACATTTTGTAAATTCAATCAGTTGTTGCTATAACTGAGTTGAGTTGATTTGCATTCTGTAGTTATGCGGATCGTGCCAAGCAAATTGTCTGCAAGGCTGTTGTCAACGAGGATGCGAATGCTAAACTCATACGTGAGCTCAAGGAGGAGATACAGAAACTACGCGATCTGCTCAAGGCCGAAGGCATTGAGGTGCAGGAAGGTAAGTCTACTAAGCTATATATATATATATATATATATATATATATATATCACATATAGTATAGCCATACTAAGTTCGTTTACTAAGCTTAAACCTAAGCCCTTGATACACACACCAACAAAAGAAGAACAATAATTTGCTACACTTCAAAAGAGAAAATAAAAAATACAATAAGACAAACAACAATCCTAAGTTAGTCGTAGTCTAATCCTAGTCCTAGCTATTTAGCTCGAGTACCTAAAAAACCAAAAACAACAAAAAACCAACCCTATTTCCTTTAGGACCCGATGGCAAAGTGGTGTGTGAGAAGCGCGATGCGAATAGTAAGTAAAGTGCTATAAAAAAAAACAAAAAACAATAAACAAATAAACAAAGGCTTTCACAATATGCAATATGCAAATATAATCTATACGCTGTGTGTAACCATATACATATATGCATAGCAAAAGACAAGGACTTTGTGTGTGTGCGTAATTTGTAATTTGTAACTCCGTAAAACATAAATTCGCTTCAGGACATATACAATATCATATTATACCTATACCTATACAAAGTGTTCGCTCGAAAATGAATTTAAGAAGTTCACTTTCCACAATGGGAAAAGGGAAAATAATCTCGATCAGCATCCGTCTGTATATATAAGCTGATTTTAGAGGCTATAGTAGGCAGAGACTCTATCAATTCTATATCATTTTATGATAGCTGCCCTTTTTTTTTGCGAATATCGAAGCAAATTCACATTTTCGATAGAAATAAAAGTCCAATTGATAAACTATATACGAGCACCTGTAAAAATTATATTAATATCGGATATGAAATCATGAATCACATTGAACAAAATAAGACCAGTCTACTATTTATTTAAAAGCTGTTATTTTCGAGCGCTCACTGTTTTAATAATAATCACTGTTCAAGTCCTCTTTATGTTGCGTTTTATTGTAATCCAAGACAGTGGGAGATGGGATTTAAAATCTATATATATATATACATCATACTAAAATCAAAGTTCTCGATTTCTCGTCTCCCACTGCATTTATGTTTGTGTTGCCCAGTCCAAAAGATAGGCACCAAATAACTCCTTGCAGTCCGCACTACTGCTTTTCGGGAACTGTAGACGTGGACACGCCAGAGAGTTTAAAACAACCCAAAAGAAAAGAAAGAAAATCATAATAAAACCTAATCGGCAACGCTTTGTACCACATCTTATTCAATATACCTAAAGCCCTATCTAATCTCTGCACGCTTTTCACTGCGCTTTATTTTGTGGCAACATTGATTGTACCATTGACTGTACCAACTAATTTCGATTTGAACTCTTGCAGAGGATGAGCTAAACAAGTCGTCGGTGATCAAGTCACCATCGAAGGGACGCAATCGCAATGGTTCCACCACCGAAATGGCCGTGGATCAGCTGCAGGCCAGCGAGAAGCTCATTGCAGGTAAGCAAATCAAACGCTGAGATTGAATCTTAACTAATCCTTCAATTCGTGGCAGAACTCAATGAGACATGGGAAGAGAAACTGAAGCGCACCGAGGAGATTCGTTTGCAGCGCGAGGCTGTCTTTGCCGAGATGGGGGTGGCCGTCAAAGAGGATGGCATCACTGTGGGCGTCTTCTCGCCGAAGAAGACACCACATCTTGTCAATCTCAACGAGGATCCCAATTTGTCCGAGTGTCTGCTCTACTACATCAAGGATGGCCTCACCCGTTTGGGCACACACGAGGCGAATGTGCCGCAGGATATTCAACTGTCCGGTTCGCACATCCTTAAGGAGCATTGTACCTTTGAGAATCGCAACAGCACTGTCACTCTTTTGCCGCACAAGGATGCCATCATTTTCATCAATGGACGCAAACTCGTTGAGCCCGAGGTGCTGAAGACGGGCTCACGTGTTATACTCGGCAAGAATCATGTGTTTCGCTTCACCAATCCGGAGCAGGCGCGCGAGCTGCGCGAAAAGATCACTGAGAACGAGGCGGAGAACGAGGAGAAGGAGAAGGCGGACACACAGCAGGTCGATTGGAATTTTGCCCAGTGCGAACTGCTCGAGAAACAGGGCATCGATCTCAAGGCTGAGATGAAGAAGCGCCTCGACAATCTCGAGGAGCAATACAAGCGCGAAAAACAACAGGCCGATCAACAATTCGAGGAGCAACGCAAATCCTACGAGGCACGCATCGATGCGCTCCAAAAACAAGTCGAGGAGCAATCAATGACCATGTCCATGTACAGCAGTTACTCGCCCGAGGATTTCCATCAAGAGGAGGATGTCTACAGTAAGCGATGATCTCCACTTAATGATTACATCTATACCAAGTTCTATTTCCACTCTTGTAGCCAATCCATTGTATGAGTCCTGCTGGACGGCACGGGAGGCTGGCTTGGCTGCTTGGGCTTTTCGCAAGTGGCGCTATCATCAGTTCACCTCTCTGCGCGATGATCTCTGGGGCAATGCCATATTCCTCAAGGAGGCCAATGCTATTTCCGTCGAGCTAAAGAAGAAGGTAGCATCACTAGCTTAATTCCCCAAAATATCAGCTCAAATCTTTTCTCATTCTCTCCCGCTTTCAGGTGCAATTCCAGTTCACCCTTTTGACGGACACGTTGTATTCGCCGTTGCCACCGGAGTTGGCATCGAGTGTTACGCCCACACAGCCGGATGATGAGTATGGTGCACCACCAGTTTCCAAGACTCTCGTCGCTGTCGAGGTCACCGACACCAAGAACGGTGCCACTCATTATTGGTCCCTGGAGAAGTTACGGTAATCTTTATTTGCCTTAATATATCCAATTTTCTAGGCATTTTTTTTACTAGCTCACATTCATTTATCTTTCTCTTTGCACTTTTTGCTATATCCTTGCAGTTGGTATTACTTCGAGTTTAATCGAAATTGAATCTAATGACAATTTGAGTAAAATTTATTTGTCTATATGTTTGTTGAAACATATATTGTTGAAACATATTTTTGAGCACTATATCAATATTCTCAATATTGAGTTCATAGAAGGCATTACATCTTCTCTCTGCAGGGAAGAGGAATAGAATTTCATCATGACAAACTATGTTAAAAATTGTTCTTGACAATATAAAAATATGACTTCTAAATAGAGTATTTGCCACTCAGCGAAAAAATAAATAAAACCATTGACAGTACAAGCAACTATTTTTTAATAATCCAATTTATTGTGATGCGAAGTTTATGCTAAGAAATAAGAAGACAACAAACTAGGTTCAGGGTGATTTATTCGCTCTTGTTACGTCAAGAATATATTTTTGAAATAAAGCTATTTTTATCCATGCAGATTGAAGAAATATATTCAGCTACCATTTCAATCTGTTTTGAGTCCTTATCAACATCTGGACAGCTTTTAATGAATATTCGCGATCCGTAATATCAAACCAATTAATGCCTTTGTGAGACTGGGTCTCATTATAAGTTCCCATCAGATTGCTGTCAAATATACAAAGTATTTTAAAATGTAATACAAAATATTTCTCTGCAGGAATATATTACCTGTTATGACAATCGTGGTACCACCAGGCACCCCTAGAAAATTCAGCACAATTCCGTACAGATTTATCATTGTCTCGATCCTGGGTTGAGAACTTTTCCCCCTCATGATATTGCAAGTCATCGCCTGCATCTCCGGAGTATTTGCCCAATGTGATCAGTTTGTAGTCTTCCTTTTCGCTGCCGACTACAAATTCGTCATATTTTGCATACTTTTGTTCTCCATCAAAGTCCTCCAATTGTATGAGTAGTTCTTGATCCCCATCTTTGGTCAGATGATGCAGTTTGTCGAGCCCGATGAAGAACTCGCCAGTCAAATTACCGAAACCACTTTTATAGTGCTCCCAGAAGCGATAGAAATCGACACTGCCGTCCTTACGCACCAGCACCGTTGTCCAGCCCCCGCTCAGTTTGCTCTTCCTGCAGAGAACCTTAAACGGTTGCTGACTGTATTCAGGAATGCGGATCTGTTGGATTCCACTACGATTTGGTATCTCCGAACAGCTTCCGGGCAACAGGTTGGACATCAAGCTGGTCATCTCATTGACTTTGGCTTCCACCCCATTCAGTTGTTCTCTGCATATTTTTTGATATTCATAAGAATGAATACAAATTAAATTTCAAATACAAACCTTAACGCAACGAGCTCTAATTGTTGAGATTGGCTTCTGGCCCCACTGTTTTCAGAAGTTGTTTCGATTGCATTCCCACTTGTCTCGAAATTTTCATCGACTTGAACACTTTTACCTGCACATTCCAGCACAGATATATACAGCAGGAATATGGTAAAAATCGATCTAAGTAACATTTCTGCTTTGAATTATGTATTTGAACTAAGCACAGATTCCACAAGACTAAACAAGCTGAACCACTGACGACCTAATTTATATTAATACGGCTTAATTGTATGTCCTATATTATTTACTACACTCAGAAAAAATCGCGTTCATTTTAGAAAATCGCCATATTTTTAGGGATTTTTCTAAAAATAATTTTTACTTCTGAAAAATGCATTCCTTAATAACAGAAAATATTTCAAAACAAATAGAAGAATAAAATACCTTCATTTTGGAATTATTGCTTAATGGGAAACCATTATAATTTTAAGAAAAGTGTTTCTCTAAATTTATAAATTATTTATAAGAACAAGTAAAGCTTTCTTATTCTTAATAGGATTTGCTAAATGTCAGGAAGATTTTTTCGGAGTGCATTCTAATCTATTTTGCTTGAACCAAACAGTTTAGGCAAAGGTGAAATAATTATCAGCATATATAAATGTATATATATATATATATATATATATGAATATATGCCTTGCTGATAATTTCGAATTTATTTCAAAGTCATTATGACCGTTCCTGATATATATATAGTTCAAGGCCAGAATCTGGAATTATTTGTAGCTATTTTGAAACCGAAATGGGATAATAGCCATTGCTAGACATATTGCTTGTATGTTCTTCAAGCTCTATTTGATGAAATCGAGGCTTTCAATTTAATCTATATATATGTCTTACAGCTGTGTTTGATAATCGGTTGGTTATTACATTTATATTGAGAGTTATATGTCTACAGGTAGACTCCGATTTGTGTGCCGTTCCATCTTAATATATAGTGTCTAAGCAATATTCAACAAACATTTTATCTAATTCCAATTATCATATATACCCCGAACTGCAAAGGTATTAAGTCTTCGGCTACACCGAAGCCAGCTGTTCGTTTTTGAGTTAAAATTAAAACAGTTAATTTTCTTTTTTAAATATATCCTTTTACTATGTTTTTTAAATTTTTTTTTGGTACGTGCATGGTGGTTGTAGTTCTTGAATTCTAATTTTCGTATATAAAAAGCTGTAGAACTGCTTAACTTGACAAACAACAACAAAAATGAATTCAAATCAAAGAAACAAAGAAAAAGCCACTTAAAACGTTGGCGTTTGTTTTTTGCAAAATAAATTCACCGCCACCATTTACGACGTTAAAAATCTCATCCGCCATCGCTGAAACTAACAGAGAAAAAACACTTAGCACAAAGCTAGTTTTGGCTTTAACAAATGCTGATTTGTACTTTTTTCGGTTTTCTTACTATCCAAAAAAAAAAAAAAACCGATTCATAATCATAATAAAAAAATCCCAACCACATAAACTACATAAACCAAAGCTATCGACTCGAACTGATGCGGCAGGTGTATAATGTCGAGAGTCCGCCTTCGTCGATGCTCTTCGATACCTCCAGCCTTGAGGGTGGAGCATATATGATGATTGACTTGGGAGCACCACCACCAGCTCAGCAGGTGCCAAATGTGGAGCCGGTGGCCGAGCTGAAGCCCCCACAATTGCGACAGGCGGCATCCCCATCTCGTTTGACATTGGCCAATCTGATACCTTCTAGGTTTGCTTGACATTTCCAGGCTCTCCCTTTTTTTGTCATTTCAATATATTTGTGTAGTTTTTGTAGTTGCTTTCCTTTGTGCATGCTTCTTGCTTTGCTTATCTTTTCTTTTTTTTTTTTTTTGCGTAGTACTTCTCGCTCTTACTGCAGTTTCAGGTTAGTTTTATATAGATAGTTGCCATTTGCTTTGTTGATTTGCCTTTTCCAATCTGCTTTCGCACTGTTTGCTGTCCATCCTGCCTTGCTCTGCTCAGTTCTTAACTAATCCCCGGCTCCGATTCCTTTCCATTTGCAGACAACGCTTGGAGCTGATGCGTGAAATGTATCACAATGAGGCCGAGTTGAGTCCCACTTCACCCGATTACAATGTGGAGAGTTTGACCGGTGGAGATCCGTTCTACGATCGTTTCCCATGGTTCCGAATGGTAGGTCGCTCTTTCATCTATCTAAGCAACTTGCTGTATCCGGTGCCGCTGGTGCACAAAGTGGCCATAGTCAATGAACGTGGCGATGTGCGTGGATATTTGCGGATTGCTGTGCAGCCGGTGCTCGATGAGGAGTCCATTGACTTCAATAATGGCGTCAAGCAGTCGGCTCGTCTCGTCTTCAACGAAGATGACGCCAAGCCCAAGTATCGGGCCCTCAACGAAAAGGACGATGTGCAGCGCTATATTGACAATGGTGGATTGGACACCAAATTGGAGGGTAAGTTTGCCACAGATTACAAGACTTGCACGCTAACTTCTCAATAATGACCCCTTCTTAGAACTTGAGGATGCCGATTCGGGCCGTGGCATTGATTCCAATTCGGCATCGGAGTGCCACGAGAATGCCGATGAGCCTGGGGAACATCTGCAGGTGTGCAAGGAATTCACCTTCCGTGTGACGGTGTTGCAGGCAACTGGAATTGGAGCTGAATACGCTGACATCTTCTGTCAGTTTAAGTACGTTTAACCAAATTAGATTTTTAAGCGGACTTTTTGCTAATCTTTCAATATTTGCTCGCGACAGCTTCTTGCATCGCCATGAGGAAGCCTTTTCCACGGAACCCGTTAAGAACTCTGCTTCGGGTGCTCCACTCGGTTTTTACCATGTGCAAAATGTGCGTAGATTTTTTCTATTTATATATATATATATAAATCGATATATTTCTATATCTATATCTACTCTTACAGATAACGGTGCCCGTGACAAAGTCGTTTATTGAGTATTTAAAGACACAGCCGATAATGTTTAAGATCTTTGGTCATTATCAGACACATCCGCTACACAAGGATGCCAAGCAGGAGTTCGTTTCTCGTCCACCACCAAGACGCATGCTGCCACCAAGCATACCAATAAGTCAGCCAGTGCGCAGTCCCAAATTTGGACCGCTGCCCTGTCCGCCATCCTCGACCGTCTTGGCGAAGCATGATGTGCTGGTGTGGTTCGAGATCTGTGAGCTGGCCCCCAATGGCGAATATGTGCCATCGGTAAGTGTGAACTATAATCCCATACGATTCACACTGATTACTTTACCACTTAGTTTCTTTATCATGGTATAAAATGCATTTGCACCATTTGACCTACTCGAAGTTCAAGCAGCTCTCCTCAGACTGTTAGTTACATGTTCGATGGAATGCCACTTGGTAGACTGAATGTAGTAAATGATTTAGGTTTATTTCTTGATCATAAATTAAAACTTGTTCAAAGGAATTCGATGACCCTTCTACGACCAAGATACTTTTCACTTCTGTTCTGTAATGCGTATGCTTGTGTATGGTTTCCTCAATATCCGAAAGATTGGAAACTATGCAGAAGAATATATTACTTTTTGCTCATCATCGTTGGGACTGGGGTGTATTGCCTCCATACCCAGATAGACTGCTCCTTACTCACCATACCGCTTTAACTAATCGTCGTGTTATCTGATTTTGCTTTATCTGGGTTTTCCCCAGGTTTTTGTTTGACTGTCATTAAATAAATAAATAAATACATTTATCTGCTTCTCCCCGCTTTCAGGTCGTTGAGCACAGCGATGATCTGCCCTGTCGCGGTCTATTTCTATTGCATCAGGGCATACAGCGACGCATACGCATCACTATTGTCCATGAGCCGACGCCTGAGGTGAAGTGGAAGGACATCAACGAACTGGTCGTTGGACGCATACGCAATACACCGGAGTCATCGGACGAACAGGATGAGGATGCCTGTGTGCTATCGTTGGGTCTGTTCCCCGGCGAGGTGCTCGAGGTGCCCGGTGATGATCGCTCATTCTATCGCTTCGAGGCGGCCTGGGATTCCAGTCTCCACAATTCGGCTCTACTCAATCGTGTCTCGCAGGGCGGCGAGACTATCTATATAACGCTCAGCGCCTATCTGGAGGTGGGTCTAATGATTAACCTCTTGTAACCTTGAAGAAAGTGAGAGGCGGATTCTTATTACTCTTCTCTTTTAGTTGGAGAACTGCGCTCGTCCCGCCATCATTACGAAGGATCTGAGCATGGTCATCTATGGACGGGATGCACGCACTGGACCACGTTCGCTGAAGCATCTGTTCTCGGGACAGTATCGCAATCCGGAGGCCAATCGCTTGTCCGGCGTCTATGAGCTGTCGCTGCGTCGAGCATCTGAAGCAGGTAGTCCAGGTAGCAATTCTCTCATTGTAGTTGTAAAACGTCCTTCGCTTGCATGAACCTAACTACTTCAAACTGATCCTACTGATCCGGCGTAACACTGCCACTATGCTTTCCACAAAGGTGTACAGCGTCGCCAGCGTCGCGTATTGGACACCAGTTCGACGTATGTGCGCGGCGAGGAGAATCTACATGGTTGGCGACCACGTGGCGATTCCCTGATCTTCGATCATCAGTGGGAACTGGAGAAACTCACACGACTCGAGGAAGTGGGACGTATGCGACATCTGTTGCTGCTACGCGAGCGTCTGGGCATGGACACAAATCCCAATCCGACCACCAAAACCGAGAAGGATGTGTGCAATCTGGCCGCAAGGGCGGCCACTTCACCCGTACACATGGTTATTCCACAGTCGCCGCAAACGCCCGTTAAGGATCCGCAGATGCAGATGCTGCCCGATCGGGAGTACAATCAACGCGAGCAGGATCTGATGCTCAAGTGCTTGAAACTGGTGCAGGGTTAGTTTGCAATCGCATTCCCTTCTAAGAAAGCAATCTTTAACCGATTATTGTTCGCTTGTACAGGTCGCTATAGCAAGAACGAACCGAACGATAACCAAACCAATCAAGCGGATGTCTCACCTAGCGATGAGGGCTGTGCTGATATGACCGTCAGCTGCATCTCCAGCAATTCCATGGAGTAAGTTCGAATCAATTGCAGACACCAGCATGCTTTATCCATTTCCATCTATGCCTTGCCTTTGCTGCTCTTTATTTCCAACACAATTGGCACTTGCTAATTAGAAAAAAACATATTCATTATAAATGACGAGCCGATCAGGTTTCAGTTTTGCTTAGATTATTGCGAAAGTGGGCTGCCAAATGTTTTATCTATTAGTCCACTTCGCTTGAGTCATCAGTGAAGGCAGGCGTTAATTAGTTTTCCAACATTTTTACCATAAAATTAAACATTGAAAGCCTTGGCTTTTCTGCAGAAGCTGCAAAGCCGAGGGATATGAGGAATCTTCTTTTTTAGGAAGCAATAGATCAGTTAGGAAGAGACTTGGCTAGGAACAGATAGATCGGTTAAAAAGAGGTTTCCCAAGATGCTTATGAAGCGATAGATCGGTTAGGAAGAGGCTTCCTTCCTAAGCATCCTGAACACTTCTTTTACTCCTGCACCAGCATTTGCGAGGAAGAGATTGATCGGTTTGCAATATTAAGCCCAATTAAGATTGCTAAATTCATAAACGCAGCTGTTTCGTTTCATTTTTAATTCAGTTCCAAAGGTTGAAAATAAATCGAACACCTTTAGAAATACTATAATTGAAAGTATTAGCAGCTTCTGTTTAAGGAGTGTTAGTAGACCTAGCTTCGTCTGGAACTGCTGCAATTCTGGGCAATTTCCCCAGAAAAAGCTCCATTCAAAAGGAGTTGCACAGCTGAATAGCTTATTAATGGAACACACGATGCCAGTCCACTAGTTGCTGGACACCAGGTGGACAGTCGCTGCGCAAAATACACCTGAGATCTTGCTCACTGAAGATGTAGCCGGGATTGCAGATGCAGGGCACACCACAGGCGTAAACACAGAACTGACTTATAGACTTATAGGTGCAGGTTTCGTGGCAAACGCCGCCACAGCGCACACTGGTCGCATTGTGGCCACAGGAGTCAGGGAATGGATTCCAGATGAGCTTTCTGCGCTCCGGGTTGGGATTGGTATAGTCATCCAGCACCACATTGGCGCCATATGCCCAAAGTTGATTATAGGCCAAGAGCCAGAACAGCAGCATTATAAAGTTTGTCATTCTGAGTGACAATTGCAACTAACTGCGAATTACGAGTTGATTTAATGAACAAGTGTTTCAGGCGGTTGTTGCAGCTGTTCTAGATATTCATTCATCACACTCACTCATCCGCCAAATTCAATTACTCAAATTCTATGCCTGAAACGAAACTCAAAAAACAATTTCGATATTCTGTTTTCTACTTTTTTTGTTTGCTTTTCTTTTTACACACAATTAGAAACAAGAAATTTGTCATACGACACAGGTAACTTTGATTTCTCTCAGCGTCCTACATAAACTGTTACTAATCACATTATTGATTTGTGTTTCACAGATTGTGCTCACCGGATCGATCGGACGCACCGAATGGCTGGGAGGCACCTGCTCCGGCCACGCAGCCAGCGCTCCCCTTGCGCCTCTATGTGCCCGAACTGGAGGAGATTCGTGTCAGTCCCGTGGTCGCACGCAAGGGTCTCTTGAATGTCCTGGAGCATGGAGGCTCTGGCTGGAAGAAACGCTGGGTGGTAAGTAATCAACAAAAGCTTAATTCCCCATTCAAATCTAATCACTTCTTTTTCGTAGATTGTGCGACGTCCTTATGTCTTTATCTATCGCTCGGAGAAGGATCCCGTGGAGCGCGCTGTCTTGAATCTGGCCACGGCACAGGTGGAGTGCAGCGAGGATCAGGCTGCCATGGTCAAGATACCCAACACCTTTAGGTACGTCAATGAGTTTTACACTCGCCCTGAACTTAATTAAATTAATTAAATTTGACAGCGTGGTGACCAAACATCGCGGCTATCTGCTGCAAACGCTGGGCGATAAGGAGGTGCATGACTGGCTGTATGCCATCAATCCGCTGCTAGCCGGACAAATCAAGTAAAACTGAATCTATAAAATATATATAAATCGTTTATTGTTATAATTCATTCTATCAAAAAACAGATCCCGTTTGGCGCGTCGCACTTTGGAGCCGGCATCGCAGACGGCATCGCAGATCTCGGCCAGCAGTGCGGTGAATGCGAATGCGGCGAACAAATGAGATACGATAACGATGGAATCCGTTTTGGTTTACTGAGACGCAGGCTATGGCTGGCTGCAGCGACTGGACATTAGAAGGCGTCTTCGTCTGATGCGGCTGGCAGCAACTGAATAATCATCAACTCTATATACACGTATATAAAGCAGCTGGATTCCATCGCACATATTGTTATTGTGTACACTCATAAAAAACTAAGTACATAAGCATACACTGAACAAAAGAAAGATAAACGAGAGAAACACAACCATAAGAAACAGGAGATATCCGAATATGCAAAGCGTACGTAATTATTAAGTAGTGCAACATGATTAATTGAGTAATTGTATTTTATATTATGTAATCGATCATTATTTATGTCAGTCAGCCAAAGGAGTAGGCAACACTGTGTGTGCCACAAATATTGTGGCATACTTTTTGGTGCAAGCAGCAGCAATTCGACAAGAAGAATATGTTTTGTAAATAGCTTTTTTGTTGTCTTTATTTGTCGTTTCCGAATTTGTATAAATATTTGCCATTAGTTAATTAATTTGTAAACGTACTTGAGTTATTACTTGCCGAACAAAACATTCAGTTTTCCGAGTGATATTATATGTTGAGAATAGAACCTATGTTCAAAATAGTAAATGCTTCAAAGACAACAACAATGAGAACAACAACAAGAACAGCACACTCCAAACACAAACAAACAAGCAAACATATATATGCATTTTAAAGGAGCAACTAAAGCAAACATATATATATTTCTATATATATATATATATATAAATAATATTGTGTAATGTATATATATATATATATATATATATATACATATATACATATATGCTGTTTATACACAAATTTTCAACAATTTACCATATTTATTGTTTAATTTAGTAACAAAACGCAAGACATATGAAACAAAATAATAATAATGCAATTACATATACATATACAAGAAGACATATATAAACTATATATAGATATATAGGTGTATGTGTATGTGTGTGTTAACGATAAACCGTACAGTATATAGGATGTAGTGTTGAAGTTGAGAATGATGAAGTGGAAATAGGATCCCCAGCAAAAAGAGGTTTAAAAGAAGTCAGCGTACGCTCAGCAGTTATCGATTAATTTGTTAGTTAAACTTTACTAAACTATATATACATATATATATATATGATGTAACAGCATACATACATACAAACATATATACATACATATATATGTGTGTTGTGTTGTGTACTCTTTACTCAATGTAAATGGCACTTGCAAATGAAAAAACGAAACAAAATTTAACTTAGAAAAAGAAGCAAACGCTTTATCGCTGTCAAAGTCAAACCAATAAAATGAGTTTGACTGCTTAAAAAGCTTTCGTTTAGTTAAAATGCTTTATTCCCTTTCTCTCTCTCTCTCTCTCTCTCTCTATCCATCTGTAACCTTCTCTGTCTCTTTTCGATTTCAAAAGAACCACCTGCAAAATGCTTAAAGCGAACAAAATATATATTAAACGTAGTTTTGATAATAATCCAACTCAAATTAAAAAAAAAAGAACAACAAAAAACAAAACAAAAAGCAAAGGCCACCTGTAAATTTCTAAGAAACGCTTACAATGCAATATATACGCAATGTTCCCCTTTAAATTAATAACTATATATTTATATATCTGTGTGTGTGTTTGAACCCCTCACAAAAAATTTGTACAACTTTCGTTTATTGGACAAAGGCACGAGCTTAATAAAAAAATAAAAAAGAGAAAACAAACCTTTGGGGTTCACTTGTACCCAGAGACAAGTGTTATCCCCAATTGTGGAAGGGTGTTCGCTTTCGTGTGTTTACAGTACAGGTTACAAAAAAAAAAGAAAAAAGAAAGAAGAAACAACACGTTAAGCGAACGAGGATTTGAGTTTTGAGTAGCGAAAATGTAAACATTTGTTAAACTATTATGTAATATTAATTTGGAATTGTAAAATATTAGAGAATTGTAATTACAATAATCATATACATATACTCACATAATTATGCGCTAAACAAACATATATATATATATATATATATATATGTATACGTATATATATGATAATTGAGAAAATGCACACAAGCTAAATTCAAGTATTAGCCGATCTATATTGTTGAGCAAAACGAACAAAAAACTCCACTTATATAGTACATATATATGTATGTACGAGTATGCAGTACATATACAATACATTTGAAATCAAATACAAATATATATACATATATACAAATACTATATATACAATTAAAATCGGGTACGTGAAGTGGGTGCAGCAGACAAACCATTCGTCGGATTCGTTTTATCAAAGTGCAAAGAAATGTTGCCCAAAAAAAACTCAAAAAAATAAAAATAAATAAAAAACGAGAGTAGCTACAAAATAATTCCAACTGTATGCTATCTGTATGTATACTCCAATCCAACAAACAACAATGATATATGCAAAATACAAAAACAAAAAAAGGGCGTATCACTACTAAAGAATTATAAATTAAAGCGGCTTTAAATAAAAACTGTAATTCGCATGTCTTTCAATCGATTGAATCTAGTTCCAGCAGCTGAATACCACAAAAAGTAAGTAGTCATTACAAATGTTAGTATTAATTCAAGTTATTCATCATTTTCATATTTCCATTCATTCAGATTGAATTTTAAAGGGGGAATATTATTTACTCTTAGAGCACTTTGGCTGTGGATAAGTTGCGCACTTTCAATACAGCTACTCATTTATATGTGGATTATATGTATGTCTACTTCGTGCAACAAGGAGCCTTTAGGATAATCTGTGCTAAGCTATAAGGACACATTTCCGATGTGCCACACTGCGTATGCGCTATGTAAATTTGTGCTTAAAGTCGAAGGCGCTTAAATCCGCCTCAATTGTTGCTGATGCAAATCACAAACTTAACAGGATATTGCATGTCACTCGCAACACACTCCTCCCACATCCCTCTCGCTTATCAAAGTGGTCATCTTAACTGGGCCACGAGCAGTGGGACAAATTTGCCTAACTTAATCTGTGGCAGATGACGACGAAGGAGAAGTTCTTGCAATGCGCCTGTGGCAATTAGGCAACTTGTCATTGCCATTTGCCATTTCGTCATTTGGCCATTTGATCGTCTGGTAGTTGATTTTTTTTATGGTTAGCTATTACCTGCTTCGTTTTGGCTTTTTTATGTGCCCTTTGTTGTTTTGTTTCTTTTTATTGCCAACTGCACAAATGAATAATTCAAAAGAGTCGGCAGTCAGCAGAAGCGTATAGCAAAATCCGCATTTAAGTCTCAGTTTGCCGTTGGGGGTTTCAGTTTTTGGACTCGCTTCTTGTTGCAACTTGCTGTTGCAGCTTGGTGTTGTTGTTTGCCGCATTGTCACTGGCAGCACCGATTGAGGTCAGTGAAATCAAATCGCTTGGATGCGCGCTTGCTCTCGCTTGGACTGGTTAGCACTTCTAGAACTGACCAACTCTGGGCATCCGCTTTGTCTTTTATGCATACCCTGCATACTCGTTCGCAATGGAGTGGTATGATTGGTTGTGCACCCAGATAACACTCAAACACCAGCTTGAATTTTAGAAATTGTCACGGCTTCTTTACTTTATTATTCAGAAAGTATATTTTTAAATACTTACGATTCTCTGGGAGTTTGCAACTGAGACCCTTCTTCCTTTAGGACGAGCCTTTCTAATTTGAAGAAAAATGTTTTCCTATGTTTGGAAAAACCCGAAAAACTCTTAATTTTTAGGCTGATTTACAAAATTACACTTCGATTTTCTAAGTCTAACGGTTGAAAGGAGTTTTATGTGTATGTGCCCGCAATTGTTAGCTGATTACAGGGTATACTGCTAGTTGAGCACTCGCTGCAAGCTGTTGCTCAGCGGCGTGTGCGAAAACTGGACTTGTATACAACAAAAAAAAACCAAGAAAAACAAAAAATGGAGAGACGATTCTGCTTGGCTGGAGTGGAATCCCTTGGCTCTTGGCTGGACTCCCTTGGCTGACTCTCAATGGGACTGGGGCTGACTTTGTTGACGGAACCCAACACCTCATAGACGATATAGACTATATAGGGAACCCCGACTGCTTCCGCTTCGTTGACAGTGCCTAAAAATAGCCACAATTAAATGCAAATCGAATTTGATCAATTAACTTGGCAAAGAATCGAGGAGGGGCAAAGAAGAAGAGATTGCAATTGCCAATGCCAATGTTGCCACTAAAATTGGCAGCCAAGTTGAATGCGTCGGCGACTATAAAAGCAATCGATGCAGCAACGATGTGGCAGACAACAGCGTGTGTGAAGAGTTAGTTGCAGTTAGTCGAGGAAAAGGAGCTCATCCAGCAGCAGCAGCATCATCATCATGTTCGACTCGAAGATTAGATTGCCCAAATATGAATCGGATGCATTCGATAATGTCGAGTACGAACTACGGATGACCTACACCCTGGAAACGGATCGTCGGATCATGAGCTTCTACGATGCGATGTGGGGCATTGAGGTGACTGGTGGCATCGATCAATTCGAACCGCTGACCATTGTCAATGTTTCGCCAACGGGTCTGGCCAAGCGCGGAGGTATGCGTATCGGGGATGAAATTACGCAGATCAATGATATACCCGCCTTGGAGCTGACCTTCAACGAGGCACTGCAAATCTTTCGCAAAAACTCGCATTATGTGCGCGTCTTTGTCAGAGGGTAAGTAGTCCTAATCCTAATCCTCAGCACGCCGTGCAGATTTCACTTCTCCTCTGTCTGCCTTAGGGATGACGATGCACCCGGTGAGGAGGATTGGACCTGTGACTGCTGGTTCAAGCCTAGGCGGCCCTGGAAGCGTGACTTTACGCCAATTCAGTGGACGTTTCCGTGGAACGATCGACGCAAGCCCGTCTACAAGGAGTCCAATTGCTTCATGGTGCCCAGCAAAATGGAGGAGAAGATTCGTGCACGCCGTGCAGCCACCTCGGCCGTGCACAAGAAGGAGGATGCCACGCCCCATACACGCTCCTTGACGCCCACACCCAGACCCAAGAATCAACCCGGACCCAATCTGCTAGAGAGCGTGCTGCGTCCACGCGGACCACCACCCAGAGATTAGGTAGCAGTAGCTTGATCTCTACTCCAGTTAGATAGGAAGCTGAACCAAAAAGAGGAGCAGGCAGCAGGCAGCAAATCCCCACAAAAAAAGTGGTTCCTTGTGCTGCAGTGCATCCGCCTCTTTGGGCCGAGGGCAGGCAACTGAATGCAGGAAATTGCATCGGCAGCAGTTGAAGTGCCCCGCTGAAATGCGCTCATACTGTGAACTCTCGCTAACTAGAACGATTCACCAAAAGAATACAAGTCGATTTTTTTTATATAAGCCAATAATGTTTATTTTTTGGCTGACACAATTTCAAGGGGATAATATCTAGGGAAAGTTCATAGGGAAAGGTTATTTCTTTCCAGTGGCCACTGTACACAACTTGCTAAATAGCTTTGTTTCCGTTAGCCAATAAATTTTAATGCCATGCGATTACCCGTTTCGCTCTCTTTGGCAGCTCGACTAGAGCTGTTATGTGAATGTTGCTCAGCTATGTTAACCTTTAGCTAGCGTTCTTTTCTAAGTCGTTCAAGGACATGATATTTCTAAATGAAGTAACAGGCGTAAATGGCGCTGATCGATAGAATATCTTTGACCCCTCCTTCAGGCATTTTGTGGCTGATCATTATAATAAATGTTACATTATTCATTATTTAGTGTTTACACAAACATCCAAATGCAAACGCGACACACCTTTCGTTAAAAGAGTGCAGCTTACACTCACTTCTGCTAAACTATTCTCTTTCTAATGTTGTGCATTAACAAAATCTGCTTGTTAACATTCGAAATGGATAAATGTTAGCTTAGGAGTATATCGATCACTGTTATCGCAATAGCAGCGAGTGTTTTACCTTCACGAGTGAGTAAAAGTATCGATCCTCTTATGCCCAGGCTAATGCAAACTAAATATTATCGAAACTTATGCAAGAAATTCTCTTTTAACTGTTGTCTAATTGCAATTTACTCATTGTACTTCTACATTGTACTTGTACTAATTAACAAGCAAAAGCTCTTACTATGCTTATGTAAAAGCTAGCAGGCGAGTGGGTGGCAACTGAGTCTTGTTGGACAATAGAATGTTTGCCTTCAACGTTATCAACTTTATAAAATGCAAATTGCAATCATAAACAAAAGCACATCAGAAATATTTATGTATTACATAAGCAGAGAAGAAGAAAAGACTTGAAGACAGCAGGATGACTAAGCAAAATGCAAATGGAGCAAATCAGCGTTTGCTAGAGTGAGACGGAGAGATGCAGCAAATGAAGGAATGAATTGAGGAATGAAGGAATGAGGAGCAACTTTTTCAGGCGACGTATTCATTAAGCGCATAACTCAATTTTCATTATTGCTTGAAACGACAATGTTCTTGCTCTTGTTTGATTCTAGACAATATGTAAATGAGATATATATTTATATATATATATGTATGTGTGTGTGTGTGTGTGTGAGTTGGTCTAGTTAGGACTTTAATCCAATCAGCAGTGGGCGTGTTCAGTTTTTGCCTTTTGTCGCCATGTGGCTTCCACTTTGAAGATTAGCATTAAGCGGGTAAGCAAAACGGGCAACGGGAAATGGTAAACTGGAATCAATAAAGCTGAAAAAAAAAATATAACACCAAATGCAACTGAGCATTATTATTAATTCAGAGCAAATAGGAAAACCAGTCAAAAGCAAGTGACGCAAAAATGTCACTAATGAATTTTTAATATGCATAACATTTTCACTCTCTCCCTCTCTGGTTGCCCCGTCTCTCTCAACGATTAAATTGATTTGCAGTTTGATTTTTCGTTGTTTGATTTGAGTTTCGGTTAATGCACGAAATGTGCGTGGCTTTTAATCAAATTGAAAACTTAAAGAATCAGTTTTGTTTAAGATTTGCCAACAGGATAACTGTGCTTCAATCGGTTATGCAAAGCCAGCAAATATTTTGTGGCATTGGTTGGATTTTACTTTCACTGTTAAGTACTTATATCCACTCTGGATTATCGGAATATGAAGTTTTCCATTATTAAATTATATCATATGGAAAAGTTAAGCTATAGAAACTGCCATTAATATTAAAATGCTGATTTATATTTGAAAGCAGCTGCCATTGACCCAAAGGCATAATCCTGTCTCTCTCTCTCTCTTCCTCTCCCTCTCTCGGTCTCTCCCTCTCTCTTGCAACATACTAAATTGAAATGACGCAAAAAATTAACAACTTGTTAAAGCAGGTTGGCATAAATTTTTTACGCTTTGGGATCCAGTTTCTTTTTTCTGTTTTGGTTCTTTTGTTGTTTTTTACACCCGTATTTTATCCGTTGTTAAACGGCGCCAGACTCCGGCTGACTTTTGACTCCTCCACTTGACTCCTTGACTTGGGTTAGGCGCTGCGGGTACGATAATGATGGCCATTAGAAATGTGTTGGTAATTAGGAGAAAAACGTCGGCTTCAGCAGCATTTTTCCCCCCGTTGCGAATACAATTTTTTATTCATTTTTTGCTGTTTGTTGTTGTTGTTGTTTGTTGTTGTTGTTGCCTTTGTGCTCTTATGCTAATGAGCAAAGTAAATTGTTTGTTGTTGTGGTTTGCCTGGGAATTGAGGCAGCGTTTAAATTGTTTCGCCTTTGCCGATTTATGACATGTTTAGACCCAAACGAACAGGACACAAACATCCAATGTGTGTCCAGTGTCCAGTGTCCAGTGTCTCTTTGCTTGTCGGCTTTCATTGATTGATGCAACAGCAACAGCAGCAGCAGCCTGAACAAAAACTGCCAGCAAACAACTTTATTTAAAGCGGCCTTCATGAAATATTCATGCTGCATGTTGAGTAGCAAAAAAAAACAACAAAAATAAACAACAGCATTGCCTGACAGGACAATGGCAATGGAGCTCACTCTCTCTCCCTCTCTTTCTCTCTGTCTATCTCTCTCTTTTCCTATCTATCTGTTCGCTCCTCATCTCTCCTCACAGCCATCATTTATTGATAGTTGCTGCAGCTCTGCAGACCTGACATAAATGCAATAGATCTTTAGATCTGTGGCCATATTTACAATTTAGAGCTACAATCATTATAATTTGAGCATTTTATTGAGCGGAAAAGACATAAAAAAGATTTAGTAATATTAAAAATAAAAATAATATAAGAAAAATGTTCAAGCTTTCTGGGGGTATTTAGTTAAATTGAATTGAATCACAAAATATAGTTAAGATGCTCAATATTAAATAAGAAATAGTATTCACAAGACGAGACATTTCAAATTGAATTCTCAATGATAGGAATAGAAGAATCTGAATTGACTACATAATTAAGTCAATTGTAATCATTACAAAGTTATCGAATTAATTTAACTAAAAACATAACACGTAGTGCAACAAGGAGGAAGTATTTACAATAATGTTGTGTAAATGTATGAAAATCGACTTTGCATATTGAACAAACTAAATTCAGTTGTTGTTTATAAGAAATGATATATATTTAAAAGCTGACTTAAGCATTTTAGCCTGTTTTGCACTTTCAAAACCCTTTTCAAAGTTAACAACTTGCTTAATTTTGGAGCACTTTGTAGAGGTGCAGAGATTAAGTTAGGCCAAATGTTGGTCATCAATCTTTGAAGGTTTGCCAACAGACATTTTTCTGGCTGGTTTCAGCCTAGCGTTTAACATATTTTCCACAACACTTATTTGGTTATTCATCGTTTCCTTTTCCTTTTTGTTTTTGTTTTTTTTTTTTTGGTAGCTCTTCAAACCCTTTTTAAAAGTCTCAACTGGCTCTGGCCATTTATTTGGTCAGCTTAAGATTGACCCACATTTGACCGGAGCTTAGGTTACCAATTTCATATGCGCTGTTTGCCCAACTCACAGTCCGATGTCCCAACTAGCCAACTGGCTGATTGGTTGCCTGTTTGCTATGTCTGCATGTCTGTTGGCCAAGTTGCCTGCTTTTTGCCCGGTTAGTCAATTTTATGGCAAACCACGTAGCGACCTTGTGGTCTATCAGCTTTAAGCTTTGCAAAAATATTCAAACTATAAATTGGCTTAAGCCAACGAAGCTGAAAACTTGCACAGTGCACATCTACACTTGGAGCAAATGTGCCTGAAAACACGTTAAAATATAAAATAAAATAAAATTAAATTTGATAAAAATAAATGGAGGTTGAAGTTAACATATCCTGGAATTTCGCTACGCCTGCCTTCATCTAAAATTGCACTTTTAATTTAAAAAACTAACCGTTCATTTCTATAAATAAAAGAAGTGGTTACTACAAAAACTTATCTTTCGACCGATTGTTTCTATCTGAGCTATATGATATAACAATCTGATCTCGGTGACTCGGTGAATTTGGAGAGCAAAGTAATACGCAGATTGGCTAAGATTGATTCTGATATCTTATTAAAACAATAGGTTTTTGTGCAAGAACTTTGCTTTCTATCGACTGTTCCTATGGAAGCTTATGATATAGTTAACCGATCCCGCCGACTGTGACATATGTACTGACTGCAGCTATAAGGCGAATAAGTGCCAAAGTTTATCAAGATTCAAAGACAGAGGGACAAGTGTGCATTGAAACAAATAGACAGGCAGAGGAGTGACGAAAATGGCCATATCTACTCATCAAGCTGATGCTGAACAAGAATATATATAGGCTAAGCTGTATAATACACTCTGCAGACATAAATAATTATATTTTTGCGAGTGTGGCAAGCAGATTTCGTGTGTGTGCTTGCTAAACTTGCCACCGGCAGCCAACAAAAAGTGCCAGACAGACAAGGTGCAGGAAGTGGGGTGTAGGAGAAGAGAGGGCAGGGGAGCGGAAGGGGCTTTGGAGAAGGTTAAAAGCATTGAGACGAAATAACATTTGACATTTTTTGAACTTTGATACACTGAAGACTTGCAGTTGGCCAATATTGTTGCAGGTCTTGTTGTTGGCTGCTAGTTGGTGGCTCAAAGTTTTGTGTGCAATCATGTTTTGCATTTGATTTGCAATAATTTTGTTTTCATTTTGTTTTTGGCTAATTTTTGTGTCTTTTTACATGACATTCACTTGTCAAGTGCAAGTTGTTTTCCCCATGACAGCGCATGACTTTTACTTTAAAGTTGAATCCAAACCAAAACAAATGTCCAAGACGAACACAAAGTTGGAATTGAAGTTGATGCCAAATGACAACCAGTTTTTTACATTACATTTTTTTTTGTTGAACAGCATAAATTACAATAAGTCTTTAAGCTGTGTATTTTTGCATCTTTTTTGTGCTCTTCGCCACACAACACTAAAAAACTGACATTATCATTGGCG